TAAATTTTCTTTAAAAAAGTATACCATTAAAATGTTGATGGTGCCTTCTATTGAGTAATTTTGTTTTAAAAGGATCTGCCTATACACTTTATTATAATATCAAGAGTAGCCCAGGTTCATATATAAACTGACTTTCCTAAGAAGTGCTATGTTTAAAAAAAAATCACGTTGCTTGTTTATTGTTTGGTTTCTAAATGCTGATATTTATATTTGTTCTACTTCAATAGTTTTATTCCGATCTCAGTTTAAATAAAATATGATGCATCAGAATAAGAGGCTTATTCTAATAAATTTGCACACTGCTCAACACTAGAAGAATATAATGACTCTGTGAGCGACTGTCAGAATATTGCTTAATGTGTTCATTTTCACGTGGATGCTCAGAATGTTCTTCTAGCTCTCTATTTCATAGTAGTGCTTTGTGTGAAGTCTGGGGACTACCATAGTGATTTTGGTGTGCTTATCCATATGCAGGGAGTTCTCTTCTGTATGTTTTGCAAGCAAAAATTCTGGAAGACATTTTCAGTCTCTGTATTTCAGTTGTATATACATTATCTTAAATCATTCTGAGGAGGAAGGATTACATATAAAGTACACAGGGAGAAAATGGGTGGGTATTCAATTTGGTGACGTGTTAGCATTAGAACTACTTTAAAACAGTCTTGAAAAATGATTTTGACCTCTCATCCAGGACAAGTAATTACTGTTATTTTTATTGCAGTAGTGCCTAGGACAGGGGTGGGTAAACTACTGCCCGGGGGCCGCATCCGGCCCTCCAGATGTTTTAATCTGGCCCTCGAGCTCCCGCTGGGGAGCAGGGTCAGGGGCTTGCCCCACTCCGCGCAGCTCCTGGAAGCAGCAGCATGTCCCCCCTCCAGCTCCTATGCGGAGGGGCAGCCAGGGGGTTCCACACACCGTCCTTGCCCCAAGCTCTGCCCCTGCAGCTTCCATTGGCCAGGAACCGTGGCCAATGGGAGCCGCAGGGCAGCGCCTGCGGACAGGGCAGCACACAGAGCCGCCTGGTCGCGCTTCCGCCTGGAGGGGGGGACATGCCACTGCTTCTGGGAGCTGCTTGAGGTAAGCACCGCCTGGAGTCTGCACCCCTGATTCCCTCCCACGCCCCCAACCCCATGCCCCAGCCCTGATCCCCCTCCTGCCCTCCAAACCCCTCAGTCCCAGCCCAGAGCACCCTCCTGCACCCCAGCCCTTCATCCCCAGCCGCACCCCAGAGCCTGCACCCCCAGACGGAGCCCTCACCCCTCCACACACCCTCCTGCCCCAGTCTGGAGCTCCCTCCTGCACCCTGAACTTCTGATTTCTGGCCCCTCCCCAGAGCCCGCACGCCCAGCCGGAGCCCACACCCCCTCCCGCACCCCAAACTCCAGTTTCGTGAGCATTAATGGCCGACCATACAATTTCCATACCCAGATGTGGCCCTCGGGCCAAAATGTTTGCCCACCCCTGGTCTAGGAGCACCAGTCGGTGATCAAGGGCCCATTGGCTAGGTGCTAGACAGATATACAGCCCTTTCCCCAGTGAGTTTGCAATCAAGGTTATGACAACGCAATGGGTATATGAAACAAACTGATTGGAAGAAAAGTATAGACAATATAACTGTAAAGTACACAAATTATGATAAAGTCAGAAGTAAGCTAAAGTCAGTCTTTCTTTTTGGACAGGTTAGTAAAATGTAATCTTTCATGATCCTGATGACTTCAAGGACAGGTGAAGATTTTGTGCCTGGGTTAGTTAAAATTAAAGCTTGAAAAAAATGGCATTAATCCAAATCCCAAAGGTTTAACTTTGTATAGTATAGACTTCTTTTCTTTTTATCCTATACTGATTTTTTTTTACTGTGCTCGTCACTGTAGTATTCCAATAGCGTGTTAAACTACGTGACTACACATTTGTCACGTGTTTTGTTCTCTCCCCCTCTCCCCAGAGGGAGAACCATGTGCAGCGGAGTTTCTTTTTTTATATAGTTAGTTTCTATCTATCTATCTATCTAGACACCAGTCGCTCTGTGTTTATATCAGAGAAGGCAAGATCAAATTAAGTATTCCTCGCACTTGCAGCGGAAGGTGGAGTGAGGTTTGTGATAGTCCTTAGTGGGAGTTCATTCCACAGCCTTGGACTGCCCCTGGAGAAAGTTCTGTCTTTCAACAACAATAAAGCGTGTCTGTGTGGGAGTGCAGTTGTGCCAAAAGACAAAGTTGTTGACTACAGTCTTCATCCCGGAGCTTTAGATGGTCTTTTAGGTATCCTTGGGCCCAGTCCTGGGATCTCTTTGAAGGTAGGGACTGAGACCTTGAACTTGATTTGATATTCTTTGGGAAGCCAGTGTAGGTACTGGTTGAGAGGTTTGATATGTTCCCAGTAGCCATTGTGTTGCTGAGGAGATGTGCGGCAACGTTCTGCACCAGTTGGAGTTTCCTAAGTGCTGAGGGCTATACTGATTTCATTTTGTATTTTCTCTCACAAACACAGAATTGTGCAATCTGCTATCTAGATGCTTTCTACAAAGCTTTCTACAAAGCTTCTACAAAGCTCCCTCCTTATTAGAACAGAAGAGTAGAATGCAAACAAATTCTAATTAATCCACCTAGTGCATTTTTTAGCACTGAATCATCTTCTGAATAAAAGTCCATTTTGAAAGTTTAGAACTGTAAGATTTGAATTATTTATTATTGAAGTTCCTTCTTCGAGCCTTGGCTAATTATGAGGAATGTAAATGTTGAATAAATACTATACAAGCTGAAGTCTGGAAGCTGCCATTCTCTAAATACCCTTAATTTACATCTTATCTCCACATAGAATTAGCCTCAATTTCAGCTACTGGTGCAAATGCACTTGTGCAAACCTCTCATGTAGACAAGCAAAGCCACAATTTGCACCAGTGAAACTTCTTCTGATTTCACAGAAGGTATTATACTGCTATTATAGAAGTGTATTTTGTCTCTAACTGGATAACTTGTGATCTAGCCACTGGTATCGAGTGGTGGAAGGGGCTAGACGTGTTTATTGAGAAGGTACTTGCTTCCCATGAGGGCTTTTTCCTGTTACATGCTGGGGATGAAGTAATTTGGCCGTTTTCCAGTTTAAACATTTAAGGTCCTGATTCACTACTAAATTACTCCAATAGATTACACCATCGTAAAACCAGAGGTACACAGTGATGAATCAGACTCTTATTTTGTATATTTAATGTAATGCTGTTTAAAGAGATTCTTGCATTGATCATCGACTCAGATCTAATTTCCTACCAGATGTGCCAAATCAACTGAATAAACAGGATTTATTTTCACACACAAAATACACGTACACTGTGGTTGCCCTGTTGAACAAAACTTGCTTTGGTCTGAGGAGCACAGTAGGAATACTGCGTTTTGTACACAGGAACCATAAATAAGCATTACTGGCTCAGGCTTTTTTCCCATGTCAGTGATGTTACTCTTGAGTCATAGGAATGTAATGGCATGTCTGAAGCTTGGAACTTGCCATTCTCAAGGTACATTGTGCTAATTTAGGCCTTGTCTGTATTTGAAATTAGTCCTGATTTCTGGCATTGTGTGGCAGCACCAATACTCTGCATATTTGTGTAGTTAAAGTGCCAACACATTTTGAATTTTGTGTAGCTGTTGTGGAAAATATGAAACATAGCCAATGCTAGTGACACTTTTTTTTATTTGAATACCAAGCAGATGTTAATATGGCCTGTCCTAATGTAGGCCCTAAGGGTGTGATTCTCACCCCCCATTCTGGCCCAGTTATGCGGCGTAAAATGGCTGGAGTAGCATAAAGAAGCTCTAAAAGCTCTTTTTCCATCTGGAGGAGGATTATGCCAGCACAGGAGCTGTGAAAGATAACCGAAAGGCTGTCTTCTGAGGATCCCCTCCTATGCCCTGGCAAAGAGGACATGCCTGATTGAGGACAGGAGTGGCGTGTCTGTAACAGGGCTGCAGCATGCAATGATGTGGAGATTTCAGTTGGTACTGTGACCCATAGAATAGCCAGGAAAGGCTGCTGCAATTTAAGACTTGTCTGCCAAGGGGTTTTTTTATATATATCCAAAGGTGTGAATTTAAACCACTATAGTTATACTGATATTAGCCCTACCCCCCCCATGTGGAAACACTTACGCTGGTATAAAAGTGGCTTTTTTTTGGTTTAGTTTGTCGTTTGGGAAGGGGTTTAAGCAGAACCAGAAAAAGTCTCACTCATGTTGGAATAAGTATGTCCAAATGGGGGGTTACACCAGTATAACTATACTGGTAAAACTTCCCCATGTAAACAAGGCCTTAGACAAGGCCCCCACAGCTGTCTAAATTATGTTGGAGAGGACCCCGGGCTGTGAGTTCTATGCTGTTCAGAATTCTATCCTAAAACCCAATTCAGGAAGCACTTGTTTAAGTCCCATTGAAGTTACTAAGGCTTAAGCACATGTTTAAATTTAAGCGTGTGCATAAGAGCTTTGCTGAATAGGAATAGATTTAAGCATATGCTTAAAGTTAAGTGTATGCATAAGTGCTTTGTTGAATTGGAACCTAAAAATAAAAATTATAGTGTCCCTTGTTCAGGTAAATAATTAAAAATATTTTCTGTGCAGTGAAAACCACCAGAGGGCAGAATGATTTCAGAAATAAAAAGGTTTTGTAATCTTAAAGTGCACACATTTTTGTTGTTGTTTGTTTTTCAATTAAGAGAAGATTTGTGGGTGGATGAAAGTTGCCAGTGCACAATTTATATTTGGAATAAGGACAAAAGCATAGTTGATGGATATGCTATGTTGCTTTATCTGGTAATTAATTGTCTTTTAGGAAGTGTACAGTCTGCATGCTCTGTTACACAAACTAACGTGATGCTCACTTTTGTGAATTCATGATTCTGTATTACCTTTTATTATGTCGCACCTCTCTGACAGGAACCTGTGATGTAAAACATTTGAAAAATAAAATAATAGTAAAAAGTCTAGAGAACAGTATTTTTTTTCTTCTCTGCAGGGACCAGATTCTTAGCTATAACCTTGGCAGAAGGCTCCCAGCTGACCATGTAAGTGGGTATCTCCAATTCAAAGTCGAGATTACATCTTCCATTCATGAAGGTGAGATTTAAAACCTGTGCACACTAATGATTGGGTAGAGAAAATCACTATGTACTATGACTACCTGTTACACATACTAATCCTGTTGTGTATAGTGCCCCTATTCTAGAAAAGCGTTGTGTGAAAGTGATGGACCAAACGTTTCAAAGATTATTATTGGTAGTTCTACTAAATACTAATTTTATCCTACTTATTTTCTACTTTTATTATTACTGATATATTTGAATGTACTTGGCATACTGTATTTTCATTGTAGGGAGAGTAGTTGACCTCATACATCCTTTTCAATTCCTAAAGTGTAAAAATGTCTCTGAGGATATGTCTACACAGGAACTAGACACCCATGGCTGGCTCGTGCCAGCTGACTCGGGCTTGTGGGGCGCGGGCTGTGGGGCTATTTCACTGCTGTGTAGGCTCGGGCTGGAGCCAGGCTTTAGGACCCTGAGAAGTGAGAGGGTCACAGAGCTCGGGCTCCAGCCCAAGCCTGGAAGTCTACACAGCAACTAAACAGCCCACAGCCCGAGTCAGCTGGCACAAGTCAGCCAAAGGTGTCTAGCTGCTGTGTAGATATACCCTGTGACCCTCCTCCCTCCCTGGGTTACAGAGCCCAGGCTCCAGCCCCAGCTCAAACATCTCAACTGCTGGTTTTAGCCCTGTAGCACAAGCCCCACGAGCCTGAGTCAGTTGACCCAGATTCTGAGACTCACTGCTGTTGGTCATTTTTGAAGTGTAGACATACCCTTACTGTCCATGGAACTTTAGATCCTCCTTTTCTAAAGAGGAAAAAAACCTCTAAGTAAATATAAAACTGTTCTGTACAGAGTGTGATATTTGTACAGTTTGTGACTGCCCCATAAGGCAGTTAATGTTGCAGTTAATGTCAGTCTCAGGTTCTGTGCAGATTCTGCTCTTCGGAACAAGAGCACAGACTTTAGAAAACAGGTTTTTACCTTGTTTTGTATAAGAGCCAATTTTGGCAATGTGCTGAATATATAAGAGCAGGATGGGAGTCCTTTATAATGATACTTCATACATATTGTGTTTCCTTTATTGTATAGAATAGGTTAAACTTATATTGAGCAAATTCTATAAATGTTGGTCCTGCATTTTTTTTTTTTGGTGGGGTTTTTCTTCACTTCACTGTTTGTATGCAGCGAATGGGTATCTTAACAGAAGTGTGTTTTTATAGCATCGTGTTGTGCAGAGATATTAGAATAACTGAATGGATGTATTCATGTGTTTCATTCCCAGTCTTTGTGTTTCATTGCAGATGCTTCACCAGAAACCGTTGGTACTTTGCTAGGAGTGAACTCTGTGAATGAAGACTTAGGAAGCCCTTCTGATGATGAGGACATGCCAGCAGGGAACCATGACACACTTCCAGTTTGTTTAAATGGCCCAATCCTTGAGGAATCTGTTGGAAATGCAGTCCTTACACATTCTTTAAGGACTAGTACAACTCTGGAAATGGACCAGGAAGAGTTAACCTCTACTGCTGCAAGGTCATCACCTAACAGAGGTCGCCAGGACTCATTGAATGACTATTTGGATGCAATAGAACATAATAGTCATCCCAGACCTGGGACATCTGCCTGCAGTGAGCGTTCACTTGGGGCATCCCCAAAACTAAGGAGTAGTTTTCCTACTGACACGAGACTTAATGCTATGCTTCACATTGACTCAGATGAAGAGGAGCATGAGTTGCATAAAGATCTGGATTTTCAGTCTTCCTTGGAAGAAGATGGCGGTTTAGTAATGTTTAATGGTGCTACAAGGAGTGTTGAAGGAAATTTTTTAAGTTACTCATCATCAAATCCGATAATGCAAGGTCCTGCAGAGGATGGGAAAGCACCAGCCTTCGAAACTCCTTTGCAGCCCTCTGATAACCAGCAGGAGACTCTCCAAGGGCTTCCACCATCAGAGTTTGCTGGAGAAGAAGGTGAAGGCCAGCCAGATTCTCAGAATAATCTGTCGGTAGAATGGGCTGGCAGCGAATTGTGTGCCTGTCAGGTGGCAGAGCAGCCTACTAGCAGTGCAGACATGGGAGCTTCAGACTCTGCCATTGGTAGTAGAAGAGGTATTAGTGAAACGGAATCCCTTGACCAAGGATCTGAACCTTCCCAGGTATCCTCAGAAACTGAGCACAGTGATCCTGCTCGCACAGAAAGTGTCAGTGAGGCCAGTACCAGGCCAGAAGGAGAGAGTGATGTGGAAGGGGCAGACAGTTCCTGCAATGGAAGTGTGACTACACGTCTCTCCTCAGTCGAAACTCGGTGTTCTTCTTTGGAAAGTGCCAGGTTTTCTGAGACTCCTGCCTTTTCTTCTCAGGAGGAGGAAGAGGGAGCTTGTGCCACCCCTGTGACCCGAAGCGAGCCTGCTGCAGAAACACAGGACTCTGTGTGCACTCCTGGCTCCTTACCGGCGGTGCGGTTACCCAGCAGCCAAGAGGAGGCTCGGCAGCTGGCTGAAGGAGGGGAATTACAGGATAGAGATGAATCAGAAGAAATTTGGCAGAGGAGGAGGAGTCTGCAGGCTGCAGCTGCAAGTAGCCAGTGTCAGGATGAAGAAACTGGAGGTACCCAAGCTGCTTGCGAGGAGGGAGCTACACAAGTTGAAGGAGCTAGTGGAGGTAATTACTATGGAGACAATAAATGGGGCTGTTTTTTGAGTGAGAAGGCTTTTCTGCAGTCATTAGAAGAGCTGTTTAAAAATACTTAATTCATAAAAATTTCAAAATAGTTCTGTTCTTGGTGGGGTTTGAAATAGTCTGATTTTTAAAAAAACATTGTAATAGTATTTTAATCAATTTGTTATGGTTTTGAAAATCAGATTTAAAAAAATGGAAATGGAAAGTGTATCTTGGAAAAGAAATCAGAACATTTTACTGTGTTGGCTAATCAAACTTATTAATGGGGAGGAAAAACAAATCAGAAAACTAATACATAAAAAATTGAGCACCTGGCACTTTTATTGTTTTGGGGAAAGGGGAAAACAAATCTTTATGCATCATAAAGTGCAAAGAGAACCAAAGCTCTATTTTTTAAAGAATTATTTATCAGATTTAAAGCTGATTCCCCTTCTATTTACAAATTCTGATCTGCTCAAGCATGTCTCTCCATGGGAAAAGATTTCATACATTCATTCTATTTACAACAATTACTTGTAAAGCTAATTTAGGATTTAAAAATTGTGTGTCATACCTAACTTCACTGTAGGTAGTAATATATTTTAATAAATAACTTGTCCCTAGTCACAGTTTACCATGTATTCATTCACTTCCTTTTTCTGGTGATGGAAGTGGGGACTCTTGGGAGTTCCTTGGTAGCACTTCACCACCATATTTGAGGAGGCCTGGGATGACCGCCAGCCTCTGATGGAGTTGATCACATGCTGGATACTGCTACAGTAAGTCATCCCTGCCAGTGAAGGCTTATTGCAAGTACATCAAATACTTCTGAAGAGCAACATTTAGACTTCTGAATGTACCAAATTGCACCAAAATATCCCTGGGAACCATATTCCCAGACTCTCTCAGAATCCTCACACGCCACCTACATAGAGAGTGAAATCCCAGCCCCATTAAAGTCAATGGAAGTTTAGTCATTGATTCCAGTAGTGCCAGGATTTCGCCCAGAGTGTACAAGTTGTGTATACTTTCAATGTGGTTGGTATATTTTTCAGCAACAATGTGTAAATCTTTCCAGTGAAGTGCACTTAGTAATATAAGAGAGCTTGACAAATGACGTTGTCTCTCCCCTTTAGTTATGAGTATGAACTTTTATTTAAGGGAACAAACCAATAAGTAGAATCGTTTATTCCTTCTCTCACTGAGCAGCCCTCACCCCTTGCTTACACAACTAAAGGAAATTATTTTAGTGGGCGATCTTGTTAAAGTATTGTCAATAGACCTCTGTTGTCCTATTATCCAGCCACTAAGAGCCAAATTCCCTTGTGGTGTAAATTTGCGTAATTCTACTGAAATCAGTGGAGTTGCAGCCATGGACCCCAATATAGAATTTGGCCTTAAGATCTTAAAGCAGCAGTTACTGTATTTGAACTGGGTTTCCCTGATGGTCTAATGTGGTCTGTGTGCTGTCTGAGGAGCCAGATGTGAGTTGGTGCCCCCTCTGAGACTTGAAATTACAGACAGAATCCATATTCACTGTGCTGTTCAATTCAGAGGCCAGTCAACAGCTTCTTAGCACTGAATGAAAAAATAACTGAATGTCTTCTCTGTTTAATTCTAGGTTCCCAAGCCAATGGCCATCAGAATCTGAGGTCACTACCGTCAGTACGTCAGGATGCTAGCCGATATCAGAGAGTGGATGAGGCTCTGCCACCAAGTGAGATTCTGTTTTACTTTAATCCAAACGTTCAGGATGTAAGCTACTCTAGGAGTAATGTGGCCCTGTAATTCAACGAGAACTAAGATCAGGAGAGGAGTTCTGTGTGGGGAACAAGGCTATGAAATCTTTTGTAAGAGAGACTGTGTTTGGTTTAGGAAGTACCACAATGTGCTATGCTGATTAAACCTCTTGTGGTGGTCCGCTAAATGAAATTGGTAGAGATCTATGGGGGAAAGAAACTGCCTTTTCAATTTGTGATCCAGATGAGTAGCGATGTGGGGTGATGTGCTGTGGTAGGGGCTAGGAAGCAAAGATATCCAAGGACTCTGAAAGCTGTGGGGTACTTCAAAGCTGGTGGAGATTTACACTGAAACAACATAACTCTGTGACACACAGTGCTAACTGGAGTTCCAGGATCAGCTGGAAAGCTAGAGCCTGAAGCTTTAGCCTTCCTGCTTTCAGCTGCTGTGTCATGGGACATATTTATTATGTACAATGCATGACATACAGTAGGTGTAGGGTGCTAATGTTCTCTTTGGCTGACCTGGTACTTTGTCATTGTTGATGGATCCAGAGAGTGATCATTAGTGGAATGGTGATACAATTAGGTGTAAAAAGAAATTAAGACATTTTGTTATTTTAATTGTTTTTGTTTTGTGGAGAAAAGGAAGGCACTCTGGACATAAAGTAAACCTAGATGTTAAACTAACTATTGGATGCCTCTAAATTGGCTTAGAAATAGTTACTCAGTATTGTATATGTGGCTAGCATGTTGCTTTCAATTACTTGACTAATGCACATGAATAACCCTGGCCCAGTTATAACCCAGTCAGTATTAAATATTTGAAGGGGAAGGATTATAGCATCTACCTGTACACTGCTAGTGAGGAAACATTGTTTACCCCCGCTTCTCCCCCCGCAAAAAATATGGAAGCCAGTTACGAACATCCCCTTCATAGACAATCACTAACCTATACCAGCCCTGACTTCTTATTCTTTGTTTCACAAGGGGTGGTAGGGTGACCAGACAGCAAGTGTGAAAAATCGGGACCGGGGTGGGGGGTAATAGGAGCCTATATAAGGAAAAGACCCAAAAATTGGGACTGTCCCTATAAAATCAGGACATCTGGTCACCCTAAGGGGTGGTGAGAGTAGGCAGGTGGTTTTGAAGACTGATGTCAAACAGCAGAAAAGAAACTCCCTTTGACTTTAATGGGATCAGGATTTTGCCCATTGAATTTAATAAAAAGTAGGATATTCATCTTGCCATGTGGAATAGGATTGTGTTGGCATAGTAATGAGACCTAGGAGGAGTGCTGAATGAAGCCCATTATCCTCTTGCTCCAGTTTGATTCTATTACAGCAAATGGTCATGATAATGTTGTCATTCAAAAATCCCCAACTACCAGGTCAGCCAAAGAGAATGTTAGCACCCTACACCTTAATTTAAAATTTCTCATAACACAGTATTTCTTTTCAGAGTCCTGCCTGGGGGAGATAGGTACTTTTGGCATTTTCATCACTTTTCTCACTGACAGGATACAGAACATTTACAGGAAATATTTAGATGAGGTCAGGTCAAGATATAATAAATTTGAAACATTTGAGAGGTGCCTTTTATACTGCAGTGATGTATATAGAAACTGCTTATTTTTCTCATAAGCTGTGTCTGCTATAATTGTTGCCTTTAAAAAAAAATCTCATAATATTTACATTTTGTGTTGCAATATAATATTCCAACACTATCATTTACTATGAGGGTGTGTGTGTGTTTGTACCCAGTACTGAGCCTTGATATTCCCCCCTCCCATACTTGTATAAATATTTAGAAAGGAAAAAAAATCAAGGCACATGCAAGGGTTTATACAGATCATCCATCTACTACTATGAATAAAACTTAAACCAGAAAAAAATACTGAACACCCTCTGGATTCAGTTTTTCTGTCTGAAAATGTGCTTGAATGTTACATTATTGTGACGTTAAAGGGGGAAACACTCACTGTAATGGAACATGCTTATTCAGTCAAAGGTTGTGGGCAGCATACCACAGTCTCAAGGTGCTTTGGAATACGTTCTAGGTTTGTTACATCAGGCTGCGACAGAGGAAAAGATAGTTATTCCAGTTGCCATATAGATTATGTTCAAAAATTAGAAAAAATATATTATTTATGCAATATACATATACCATATGCTGATTTTACAAATTATTCATTATGTTAATAGGGAAAGCAAAAAACAGATGACCTGGTACTATAAAAACTTGATCAACTGCATAGAAATTATGCAAATTCACTGTACCTTCAAGCTTTTGTTTTAAAAATATATTTTTGTAAACACATTTGCATCCAGTTTAATTGATTGAAGGTGGCAGTAATCTATGTAGTTGCCTCAGTAATGGCATTGAGGTCTCAATAATAATAATATATGGAGATATCCTATCTCCTAGAACTGGAAGGGACCCCGAAAGGTCATCAAGTCCAGCCCCTGCCTTCACTAGCAGGACCAAGTACTGATTTTGCCCCAGATCCCTAAGTGGCCCCCTCAAGGATTGAACTCTCAACCCTGGGTTTAGCAGGCGAATGCTCAAACCACTGAGCTATCCCTCTGCAATGCACTGCAGCACTTAAGCCAGTGCTTAACTTGAAGAAAATGGGACAAGTTGCATGCTCAAAGTTAAGCATGTGCACAAGTGCTTTGCTGGATTGGGACCTTATTGCACAACACTGTTCAGCTGCAGACTTGATTTGAAGAGAGGAGTGGAGAATATGTGCTAAGTAGAGGCAAATTTCCCTCTAGAAATGCCTTTTTCACCAGAATATAAAATCTCTATATACTCTGAAATTGGCAGTCCTCTTGGAAAGCCAAGTAAGAGGTTACAGCACTCCGAAAAATTTAGTTTTACCAGGCTTAATTACTTTTGATCAATTGGCTGTGCCTATGCTGAGAGGTAAACGAGGTTCTATGTAAGTAGTCAAGGTTGTCTCCTACCATTTATTTGTTGCTTTCCCTAGGAATGGGCCTGGTTGTTTTCCACAGTCTGTGGTTAGTACTCTATTGTGTGTGTGAATGTGGTTTTTCATTTATCATAGTAATACATTGCAGCACTGGAAGAGCATTTAATATAATCTTTCCTCTCTAAAGAGTAATTTATCACAGTGAAATACACATTATGTATCATTAACTAATATGCCTTACTGTTATTGACAGCTGAAAAAACCGACCACTAGGTACCAAAATCAAAACAACTAGTAGGTCACCTCTGTTCTATAAAGGTGCAATTCAGAGGGCCAGTAGGGGCCTAACACCACTGAAGTTCTGCTTAAATCTATAAATTCGGGCTTAAATGGAGCTCAGTTGGTGCATGGAACTTGAGCTGGCCCATGGAACTTGAGCTGGCCTTCTGGCCTGCCGTAAACTTCATCTGCAGTATGCTGTGATACAGTCATTGAAGTGAGTGAACGCAAAGATCTTGAATTGTTTAATTTAGGATTCACACTCTGTAATGTTTTGGAGTACAAACCCACTGAGGGGTTGTGTCACTGTCTGCCTGTAACCCTAAGTGCCTTAAATGTTCTGCTGCTGTGGCTCACATCCTGGGCACCAGCAGACAAGCATGCAGTTCCCTTGTGCCTGGGTACTGTGCAGCCTTGGCTCAGCACTCTGACCCCAGTAGCCTGCCTACAACACAGCCTGTGCTCCACCTTGGTCTCCACAAGCCGTGGTTACTACTTTCATACACTCCAGTCCTGAATTTCCCAAAACCGTCTGGCTGCCTGGAAGCATCCAGCCCTCCTCTGGAACACTTAAGGAAGCAGTAAGGTTTATTGCTTCTTTTTAAAGAGACAAAACAACAGCTTGTTACTTTAATCAGAGTTAACCATCACTTCAGTTCAAACACAGCACTGGGTTCATTTAGATTAAAAGTAAAACAAATTTATGCACAGAAGAGCACCGGTTAAGTGATATCAAGTAAAAAATAAAGGTTACAAGCAAATAAAAGTGAAAACACGCATCTAGCAAGATACAATCTTTGTTCAAGAAGGTCTTTCTCTCACCCACAGTCTTCTTTCCAAATTTTTACCGACTGGCGTGGCTAGGACCCATCACAGAGACCAAATCACTTGGTTTCTTTGTTGCCTTAAGATGAAGGATAATTTAGGGGTTTGCTCCCCCTTTCATATAGTCCAGTGAACCTCTGAAATGTATTCTTCTGAAGGCTACCCCCAAATAAAGTTAATTAGTTCATGCTGAGTAAAGGAGTCATGGGTTCTGGAGGATAAGGCTCCATGCTGGTTCCTCCTCTGCTGGTGATTGTTAAAGTGCAAATTATCTCCACCCACGATACAAATAAATAGCCCACTGAATTTGGCCACACCTGGTTTGAGGTGTCACCCTCTTTCCGTTTTTCTGGACAAAACCTGTTAATCCACTCCACCTGGCATGCCTGGTTTAAACACCTATTAGTCACAGACTTTAAAGCATAATATCAATGAGTATTCATAATTTCACATACAGCATTGTCACATATATTTTACAATGATATTATTGACCAGTGTGGTGTTAGTTTTCAAATGATACCTCACAAGGCATATTTTGTACAAAACATCATTGCACTAGTGCGTAGGGTGTGAACACGCAGATTCGGCTTAGGGTCATACACTCCCTAGTCAGTGGAGCATCAGCACATATTGGATAATCCATATTAGATGTGAATTCTGTAAAAACTCAGTACAGTGGGAGGTTGATTTGCAGAATAACATCTGAGAAAAGCCTGGGGTTTTAGCTATGAGTCATGTAGACAGAGGGCAATCAAAAAGTGCTGGATCGTAGGAATCTTCTAGAAGAGAAATAGAAACTCAGGACAACAGGTTTAGTTTAAAAAGTAGCAAAATTTAAAGAAAAAATCATACCATATAACGATTTATTGCTGTTCAGACTGGGAGGCCCGAATCGACAGCCATGGGAGGATATTCTATGTGGATCATGTAAACAGAACAACAACATGGCAGCGACCCACAGCTCCTCCAGCCCCACAGATCCTCCAGAGGTCAAATTCTATACAGCAAATGGAGCAGCTGAATCGCCGGTGAGAATTGTTGTTGTCAGTGATTAAGTTTATAGTACCAAAAGTGTGCTTGGCATTTTACAACCCAGTATGAGGACTAGGTCCCAGCTGCTACCATAAGTAGCTCTGTGCCGTCTTTTGTGAACCAGTGGGTCTTAAGTGTGGTTCTTCTGAATGTCCCCCTGAATCTGGATGCAGGCTACTAGCATCTATGTTCCATTAATGTTCAATGGCCAAAAACAATGGGTAAGGAACCACAAAAAGTCAGGCCATAGAAGGCTATGAATAATCAGACATCTGTGGATTTTAGGCTACACGGATGAAAAAGCAATTAAAACAGCTTCAGTAGTTGGGGTTTCCTAGTGCCAGATGTAGGGTATATTCACCCTATAGCGTATGTAAATCCAGTCTTGTAATTCTAGATATCAGAGTATTCGTCGAACGATGACTAATGAGAGACCTGAAGAGCACCCACATGCCATTGATGGAGCTGGAGAGGATACTGACTTCCATCATTCTAATGCAGGTAAAAATAAAATTGATGTCGATCAATGGAGAGTTCAGCTCATCAGCCATAGAGCGAGACAAGGAGAATCCTACTTTCTGTCTGCATAGAACCATCCATTTGCAGTCATTTACTGTCCTGTTTCTACCTGCTATGGCTCAGCTTATTAGGACTTATTCAATCAGCATGTTGAAGAATTGTGTGTGTGTGTGTTTCAGCTTCTTTCCTCTCTCACGTTAGGAAGCTATGTAAATGGCTAATGTAGGCCATTTGCATAAAAATGTTCTGCAGCTGCCAACTTTTTAGTTATTATGATTATTAACGGTGGCATATAGTGAACACCAGGCTAGTCTGTAGCAATTCCTTTCACTCTGTTAATATGAATTTCCCCTTCTTCTCTTGACTTCTGAGCTCATTATCAATGTTGCTTCTGTTGCTAATATAAGGGAAGATGAGCTTAGATGGCAGTTTGAATGAATTAAACCAGCAGAATTATATACCTGGGAAGTAACCTGAGTCCTCCATTTTGTCAGGCAATTTTAAGTTTGAAATTCAGTGAGGTTTTTCCTTAATGAAGGCTTTTCCATTGTTAAAGTTAACTCCTTGAAGCCAACAATCAGGGTCTCTCTCAGTGTATAACTTCATTGTTGGCAGTGGGGGGGGGGGAATGGCAGGGACTGCTGGAGGTGCCAAGAAGTTAATTAGATGTTACACTACTGACTTTCACAAAAGAAGTGATGAGAATGTCATTTGAGAACAAGGCAACATCCCCATGATCGACACACAGTGGGAGGAATTGAGGGAAGTACTGCATGAGCAGTAGTTGTAAGTATCTTTTGTGACAGATTTATGTTACCAGTCTGCCTGGGGCTTGACGTGATCAGGCTGAGGCCGCAGGATCTTTAGGGGAGGAGATGAAAGAGCACACCAAGTGACTAAGTTTAAGGCTTTATTAACCAAATAACAGCGGTGAGAGCTAGGCGTGCCCCACGTCACTCAGAGGGAGGAATTAAGTTAAATAAATTAAATTAAATGAGATATCCTATCTCCTAGAACTGGAAAGGACCTTGAAAGGTCATCGAGTCCAGCCCCCTGCCTTCACTAGCAGGACCAAGTACTGATTTTGCCCCAGATCCCTAAGTGGCCCCCTCAAGGATTGAACTCATAATTCTGGATTTAGCAGGCCAATGCTCAAACCACTGAGCTATCCCTCCCCCCAGGAAGAAAGCATTAGTGCCCGTGCCCTAACGCACTTTCATACTTACACACGCACAACCCGAGGCTGGCCAAGCCTGGGTGTAACGTAAGAAGAAGAGGGGGAAGGGTAGACGAGAGTTCTGCCCTGTGCACAGGTCGTCTAGGGTCCGTTGTAAATCTCCGACTTACTTCAGCTCTCGGGAGGGTTTTAAGCCCTGGATTCTTCCGGGGGCATTTTCGTCCAGGGACCCTTGTCCCCCGTGCTCTCAGTACCAGTCCGAACCTGCCTTCCGCGGCTCCCTTAGTTTCCCCGAAACACACCGGTCTCAGGGTCGAGAGACTGTTTTTTAACTTACTGACCTTCGCAGTTTTACAAGTTTTGCACCCCTTCAGTTTTGTTTGGCTTAGTTCTCCTTTCTTACGGCTGGCCGGGGTTGAGACCCAGGCTTCTGGCCGTTGGCAGCAGAGAGCTTGTTTGTGTGCGCTGGCCTTGGGCTGCAGTTTCGTTCCTTATCTTCGGGCCTAGCTGGATCCTTGAGTTAACCCATTCCTTTCTCCCTTCCTCCCCCTTCGGCCTCTTGTAACCTGCAAAGGAATCTTCCACTCCACATTCACACCTTCAACCCTTCCCAAGATATTTTCCAATACATATAAAGGCATTAGCAATATACAACGCTGGTGCTTACCCAGGGGACCCCATGGGGGGCATTTTATTGTCACACTTTCTTTCCTCTTATTCATCTCTCTTCTCTTCCATTTTTCAGAACTCCTTCAATGCTTGAAATATTTTTCTCCATATTTGTTTCAAATATTACCTTTGTTTCCCACTCTCCCCTCCTTTATTATGTTTCCTATCTTTCTCCATTTGTGTTCATCATTTCCTTCTTTCTTTTGTCTCTCGCCCATCATTCCCCCGATTTGAAGTCCCTGTTCTTCCCTCAACTTTTATTCCCACTTAATACCTGTCCTTTCCCTCTCCCGGTCTCCTCTATTAAGTTATATATTCTAGTTTCTTAAAGTATAGCGTTCTTCCTAATGGAGCTCATTTGTTATCTACGGATGGCTGGACTTCCCAGAATTAGTGAGGAAGGATGACCCTGTGCATATTGTCACACATAGAAAAGAATGGGCTTGTGAAGGACGGAAGATGTCATGATTTTTAGTGGACCTGGGTACGACCATTGTGATCCCAATCTACATTTACAACCTCCCATCTACTTTAAAATCTGCATCCAAATCTCCTGCTTCTTTTAAAAGAGCCTTACTAGTTGCCCTTTCTAGTTGAAAGAATATAAACACATGATACCCATGGTTCCTCTCCGGTTCCTGATATTTGTGAGAAATCAATACACGAAAGCAGCTGCTAAGGGGACACCCAAATGTTTATCATATCCATCTGGAAACATGGAACTGAAATCGATTTCCTTACCAAACCTTTTCTTTCCTCCATTGTATGAGCATTTTGGTTAAATGCTGTACAACTGATCAGTGCTTCATTGCTGGCTGTGTTGTAATAGGAGAAGTGAAACATATAACAAATTACATTGATTTTATATGTACTGTACGTATTCATGTTGGTTGGCATTAAAAAAAATCAGTATTTGTCTGCAGTTACAGCACAATGGTATCTGACATACCACTGTTACCTTCTTTTCCGTTTGTAGGAATATGGCTCTAGTATCCCAAGTACCATTGTGTGGTGACTGTGGGTAAATATTGATTTGTAAGAGTGGCACTTATGTATTTCTTACATCAGAATCAATTAAAAAGTATAACTACACCGTTACCCTGGAAACGTCACATATCTTCAGCAAACATGCATTGATAAATTAGGATTATTTGAGGTACACTTATGTAGAGAACTTTTTAAGAACCTAAGAGAAATGTCCATCAAGGAATTATCATGAGTGTATAATGCAAATCAATGTAGTTGTTTGCAGTGAGGTTTTGTTAAACGTTATTACTGGAAATCTTTGTCACTCACTTTGTTGTTAGATTTTCGAAGGGAGAATGTGCTGCCTCAGTCTACCTCCAGATCCAGGCTTACTTTATTGCTACAGTCTCCTCCGGTGAAATTCCTTATCAGTCCAGAGTTCTTTACAGTGCTGCATTCTAACCCTGTGAGTATAGTGTATACTGACATGCAATTTCATAAATATACATTGATAAATATGGGCACATCTGTGGTCTCTGTATTTTTCTTATATAGAAAAATCGTACTCAATATTTTGAGACTAAGATATGAAAAAGGAAACTATGTGATGAGCTACTCAATATGGGGGATTTATTACTTTACTATTCAAATTGTGCATATCCACGAAAACACTGTGGAAAATTGGCAGTACGTACCAGCTGTTAACATAAGGCTCAAGTAAGGTTTCCGATTTCATCTGCGCTGAGGAACTGCAGCGTTTATTTGTTATGGGCCTGATTCACCACTGCATTACATTAGATGTCCAGAAAACTAGAGTGATGCAATGGGGAATCTTTTTGGGGGGGGGGGGGCAAGGGGGGCATTTTATTTATTTATTTACAGTGGTAACTGTTAAAGAACCAATAGTAACCCATTTACCACCATGTTATTTGAGATACTTCAGTTATTGTCTACTTTACACACAGTGAATCTCTGCATTATCAGATAACACTCTAGTAATGGTGGTAAATATTGACTTTGTAATGGCTACTACTGTATACAGCATTGTAAGTGTACATGGCATTATATAATAGAGGGAAGGTGCCAAACAAATAAATCTCTGCCCTGAACAGCGTACAATCTACAGACATGACTGGATACAGTATACACTGGTAAGTGTATTCGGGAAGATATAGCAAATCCCACTGCTTTAGTGCATTCTTTTGGAGCTGGGTGTGATATAAAAACTGCCCCTGGAGGCATTACAGTGTCTTCAGTTTTTACTTTTTGCTTATCTATTTGCCCAGTCTTAATGTTGCAAAACATAACTAGTTTGCTTCTTGCAACAGGTGATCCACCTATAAAGGGTGAAATACACCCCTGAAGATGGCCAGTTGTGTGCACTACTCAAGTTAAACTATTTTGAGGATTTAAGTAGAGCATATTCATACTCACCTATTTTATATGAAAGTACATTAGAAATCATTGAATAAAAGAGGTTTCTTGTGTTGTTTTCCCCCCCATATTTGATTTAAAGTTTTCCCTATTTATTCTCCAATGGTCTCTTTTCTAAATAGTTTTTCTGTTCATTATTTTTTCCATGCACATTATAAATAGAAATAATGTAATGAGTACTTCACTGTCTGCAAGTACTCCTGTTAATAATTCAGTGGCTTTAAAACTACTGGGCAGTGTTAGTTTTAATTGTATGGTATGTGTATTGTTCCAATCAGCTGCATGGAATCTAGCCTGCACAGCTGCATCTTTAATTCATAAGGCAGAGGTCCATTTTGTTTGATGAAAAAAAGGCATGTGTATTTCTGTGACTTTCATTCGTTTTGTTTATGTAGAGCTACAATCAAACATGCAAGTATCCTTTTAGAATCCAAGTAGGTTGAAACAATGATAATGTAAATCCCTGGTGACGTTCCATAAAAAATATAGTGCCAAACTATAATACACTTTCAGTTTTGTTGCCAGGTACTATGGCAAGAGAAGAGACATTATTTTATATATATTACCCTTAAGAGAATTCTTAGGAAGGGCATTGTGAAGTCTCTGCAATTTACACCAATTTTATTGCTAGAAGAAGCAGTCATAACTACACCAACATCAGTGAAGTGGAATGCTGGAAAATATAGCTTGCACCTCATTGGGTGAATAATAGAGTCAGGCAATGAAGACTTCATGGCTTTTCTTCTGCTGCTATTGTTCAGCTGGAAACAGTTTCCTTCAAAGTTTATTAGAGCTGCAGGCCATAAATTTACATTAGGAAGGCTGCCTTTCCAGGGAAAAAGAGCTAAATACTTTTGTTTGATTAAAATCTAGATACTTCGGAAAACGAATAAAACATTTATGATTAAATATATTGTGAAGTGTTTATTTCATAGCTGCTTCCCACTCTGTTATTCTTTCTTTAATGTCCATTCTTCCATATTGCTGACTATTTATCTAATTGTCAGGGCCCCAGTTCAGCAAATCACTAAAGCACATGCATCACTTTAAACATGTGAGCAGTCCTGTTGACTTCAGTGGGACTGCTCCTGGGCAAGCACCAGTGCCCATTGAACTGAGGCTTAAGTTCTTTGCTGGTTTGGGGTTCAAGTTATTATCCACTCATTGGAACATAGGTCACTCATCCGACTGTTGGACTGATGATCTTTCTATGTAGACGTTTAACTTCTAATGTCCTTTCCTGAAATTATTTTATTATGAATTTTTCAGAGTGCCTACCGCATGTTTACAAACAACACGTGTTTGAAGCACATGATCACCAAAGTCCGGCGGGACACCCACCATTTTGAGCGTTACCAGCATAATCGAGATTTGGTGGGCTTCCTCAATATGTTTGCTAACAAACAGCTGGAGCTGCCGAGAGGTTGGGAAATGAAGCATGACCATCAGGGCAAGGTACCTGAAACACATATGTAACGCTGGTTGGATTTTGTCTTTGTAATGATGGGATTGAAGCATCTGCTCTTAAAAGGAGCAGAGATGCAGATGATTCTCCAAGAAGAGTGAGTATTACTCTGGCTGTTTGTTTGTTTTTTTCCTTCCTCTCCCCTGCACAAAGTAGTACATCCTGTCTGTGCTGAGGGAGCATTGTTGGGAAGAGAGACTGAGTAACATTAACCATTATGGAAAAACATTTAGTAGAGAATTATAACTTTTCTACATCATTCACTATTAGATTCCATACCATAGTTTAAAACTTCTATATAATGGAATTTATCTTTATCCCTTATTAGTTTTTCTTTCTTAATAGCTTCTGGTATTCCCAGCTGGTCCCCCATCCAAGTACCAAATAGACCGATTATTGATCAGCTTTGGAGATGAGATGAGATTGGATGCATTCAGACCAGTTTGGCCTTAGGGAATATCTCATAAAGTTGGGTTCTGTGTGATTCAATGCTGGCCATAAATACTGCAAGAAATTAATTGTTTGGTATGGTTGCATTGCAAAGCCTTCTAGATTTAAGGTTATAATTTGGCCACTTTAAAAGAATTAGGACCTTTTAATTCATCCTTTGAATTAGAAATGTTCATTGTCAGAAAAGTTATGATATTTATTTCAACAGTAAAAGTTTAAATTTGCTCTGTGGTTCCTACATTAATTTTCCTTTTTGTTAAGTTGGTGTGATATTGGATCTCCTTCTTTCCTTGGGAAAATGATATTATTGAATACTATTGAGGAGGGAGCAATTACATTTACTTTTTGTATGACCATGACATTTAGAATTTTATATTCAATACACTAAGTAAACTAAAAGTAAGTTGAAGCTTGTAAAAAGTAAGTTGGGAATTTTCAGTGGCCTTACAAGGTAATAGTGCTACCTAGAGTGGCATTTCCCCCTTTGCATAGATATAGGAAAGAATAAAAGTATGCTAGAATTAACATGTGAGGGAGTGATAGTGATATCTATTTGGGTAAGAAATAAATGGTAATTAGGACTATAGAGAGACAAGGTGGAGGAGGTGATATCTTTTGTTCGACCACCTTCTGTTGGTCAGAGAGACAAGCTTTCAAGCTTACAGAGCTCTCCTTCAAGCCTGCAAAATGTACTCAAAAAGTCACAACTAAATGGGAGGTGGAGCAGATTGTTTAGCATAAGTAGTTCACATATTTCAAGGGACCTTTCAAGGCGAAATGACCAGTTAACGCCTCTCCAGTTGTGGGGGGGAGGGGGAAATCTGGAAGGGAGGGGATTTAGTGGGTTATCAATTGTTGTAATAAGCCATAAATCCAGTGTGTCTATTCAAGCCATGATTTTTATTGTCTAGCAAAGTTATGAATGTAAGCACAAGTGATATCGTGTTTTTTGTCTTTTATCATTGTACGAGTTCATTTCAGGAGCATAGTGATTGTCTGCTTTCACCTGCATAGTTATTGTTGGGACATTTAGTGTGCTGTAGGAAGTACATCACATGCTGGGATAGGCATGTGTAGGACTCCTGGATCTTGAAAGCTGTGGTGTTGGGGGTGTTGATCGTTGTAGCAATGGAGACATGTCTGCAAGTTTTGCGTCTGTTGGTCTGGTGCTGCTTTGAGTTGAATCCTGGTCTATGGGGAGCTTGCTTCTGATGATGGGCTTGGTGAGGTGGGGGGTTGTTTGAAAGCCAGAGAAGGGTTTCAGGAAAGATTTCTTTCAGGAAGTGGTTGTCGTCAAGTACGAGTTGTAACTGTTTAATGATACTTTGTATGGGCCCCAGTATGAGCTGGTAGGTGACAACTAAGGGTGTAATAAACCTCCCTCCAACCGTACACCCTAGCTGTGACCTTTGACCCCACACTGGAACCAGTAGAAAGTATCATTAAACAAGTACAGACCATACTTGATGGGGATCACATCCTGAAAGAAATCTTTCCTGAACCCCCTCTTCTGACCTGTAAGCAACCCCCCAACCTCTCCAAGCTCATCATCAGAAGCAAGCTTCCTACAAACCAGGACCCACCAACTCAAAGCGGCACCAGACCCTGCCAGAACCTGAAGAAGAGCTCTGTGTAGCTTGAAAGCTCGTCTCTTTCATCAACAGAAGCTGGTCCCCTAAAAGATATTACCTCACCCACCTTGTCTCTCTAATATCCTGGAACCAACACAGCTGCATGCAACAATTAAGACTATAGTCTGACTAAGCCAATAAGTGCCTATGTCTATAATTCTTGGCTACATTTAGCCATGAATGTTTGCGTGTCCACATGAGTAATGTACTTGACACCTGAATGGGGAATACAAACAGACTCTAAACTGAAGGTAGGAAATATGCTTGAGGTATGTTGTCTTCTTGGATTTATTACTTTTCAGCTTTAAGGAAAACATTGTATAAAAATGGTGGGGGAGATACAATTATTTTAACATCCTTTTTTTCCCCCTGTCTCCCTCTTTCTTCCTCTTTCTCTCTGTCTCACTGAGCCCTTCCCCTTAAATTTCCTGGAGCCCAGTTCTCTCCCTGAAGAATATGAGTAACTCCATTTCGAGTTCAGTAGAAGCTACTCATATCCTCCAGAGGGAGAATCAAACCCTGGATTTCTGTGTGTGGTACTTGAAGATCATGATTAATGCAGCTGTAATAAGACATAGAGGAAGCACTGAACAAAGCCTCATAGGAAGCTCTTTATTTTGAAGTATATTTTTCTGTGCCGTAGCTCAGGATTGCTGGTTCTCACCATTTTGAATTGGCTTTTCCACAAGTAATACTTGCTTCTTCAGTGACCAGTGGAAGATGAGTCACAGTAGAAAAACTTATTCAGTACAGTAGAGGAATCGTAGCATGTGTATGACCTAAATGAGGGCTTGGTTGGCCTAACTTGTACAGTGTGCCTTGCTTGTCCAGTACCTGTGCCACAATGTATAAATATATCTTCTATGTGCCTTAGTACTTGTGCTGATGGTGACCATACTTCATCTCTGTTGTGCTGCAATTAAAAAATGCTCTTTCATTTTTCACCTGCTGTCACCTTACAAATATGTTAAAGCATAATAAAAAGCAACACATATCTCATGTGCACAAGTGAATTCTGGGATTAATATATCTTGTGATATAGAAGATGAATGACTGAGTGGGACCCTGCCAGTTAGAGGATATATGAATATTTTTCTTGATAACACAAATTATTAGGCTAGTGGCAGTGAAGATTAAAGTGTCTTATTTCACAGACCAGCAGCTAGAGCAAAGAGACAAAGAATGGGACAAGTGGGCTTTACTCCCTAGTAGATGCTGATGTTTCTTACCTCTGCGCAATTGGCTGTGAACTGAGGTCCATTGGTAGAACTCTGTGGAGAAGCTTAGGCAGAAGTTGTTCTGAAATGCCTGGCTCTAAACTAAACAACCATCTCATTTAAAAAAAAAAAAAAAAAAAGCTCTTTCCTGGATTTGCAAGCAAATCATACGTAGAAAATCGGTGTATAAACAGAAAACTGGAATAAAAATAGTATGTGTTGGGGGATGTTAAAATAAAGTTGACCATTGATGAAATAAAGTATTTAAACAAGCGTTCACAGCCTTTATTTGAAATAACTTCTATTTAAAAATGTATAGTTCTTTGAGGGGGAAGGGATTTAATTTTTGGTCAAACCAAAATTCTGTCACTTTGCACAATTGTTATAAGTTTCCTGGCTATACCTTGCCAGGACCAGTGATAGGAGTTTCTTTAAAATTAGGGTGTTTTTCTTAGGGGTTTTTTTTTTTTTTTTAAGTGTGCTCAGTTCAGTTTCCAGCTGTGGAACCAGTGTCCAGATTAGCCCAGAGCTTTGAAGTTCCAATGATTTTCTTTAATGAAGCTTCAGCACAGTAAATCTGTGCTTTATTATAGACTGCTGCTGGCTGGCCTAAAAGCATTCATGCTTAATAAGACATGATCACCCTTAATATAATCTTTAAACATAGTTTAAGTGGGTACAAAAAAGCATTACATGCTGTGTTAGATGGCTGCATTAAATCGGAGAATTGTGCATCTGCAGTATAGCTCTAAACAAGTAACTTTTTTCATATCGAATCATTGTTTTTGTTTATTTTTCTAAGTATACTCTATTACAAGGTTGGTACATTGAAGTCAGCCTTTGGAAGGTTGTCTTGCTTCCTTCAAAATACAGATAGATAGAGTTGGATAAAATAGATATCAGCGCCTGAAAAAGAATTACTGGACATTTGCTAGTAAGAGAATTAAACCTATTAGCTGGGGCTTAGATACCAAAGATGACATGGCGCATCCCCTCTGCCTCCTTGCAGAAATTTAAAAAGCCAATATTGAAATTGGTAAAACAGGTATTTCTCTAATACCTGGATCCTGTGTAGCCAGTGTCACAATTGACATCACTATTTGGCCAGGTGGACACCACCAGACCTAGGCTCAAACATTGCCATTAGCAAAAACATTTCAAAATTCAACAGAGAAACATTATGCTTAATTTGTACATCTATAGATATCTCAACTGAGCAAAATGTATATAGTTTTCCTTTATAAAGTTTGTCTCATCCCAGACACCAACTTGTAAGGCATATCTCTATTTAGCTCCAGATTACCAGACAGCAGTTTGACAATCCGGGGGCCTTCAGAGTTTTGGTGCCCTCTGCTGGACTATTCCCAGTGTGTTGGAGCCTCAGTTTCTTTTCTGTTCACATTTATTAAATGAAAACTTGAAAACAGTAACCAGAAATTATAGTCACAATAGGGACAGTAGACAGATACAATCCCCCCCCCCCAAATTCCAAACCTTCCACGCCTCAAACCCATTGTCCTGAGACCTAAAAGGACAATTTGATATCATAGTCCCATGCCATAGTATGAAGCTGCTTTTGCTTTTCCTTTGTGTCATGTGAACTTCCCAGAAGTGACCCTATGCTCCCCACCATAGTGAATAATAATACTTATCTCTTCTGTCGCATGACTCATGTTTTCTGTCTATCTATTTTCATACGGCTTATAAGAGGAACTCTGATTTCATCTTCAAGGGATTGCATATGTCCATTCCACTGGGGGGGGTGGGGTGCATGTCTCATGCACTGGCAACAGAAAGATTTCCATAATAGGGGTGGGCAGGCAGGCGCCCTACCTTACCTCATGCCTGGAGTCAAAGATATAAAGGGTGGAGCGAGAGCCACCCCATCCTCTTTCAGTTCCCTTTTTACCATCTATGGTCGGAGCATGTTGTTGTACTTTGGTAGTCTTTTGCCTTTAAATGTGTATGTAGTTAGTGTATAATTGTCCATAGTAATTAGTGGTACTCGTTTTTTCATCCAGTTGGGTGTTTGTTTTTATTTTTTTCTTAAAGTTCATTTTTAATTGTTTTGGCTTCTCCAGGCTTTGCTCAGGACCAGGGGAGTTTTTGCAGCCTTCAAGAAGCAGCTGCAAACCACAATATAAAACTGCCTCAGGCTTCTGGGGCACATGGCCACTTGTACATATGTGACACACAAGCCAAGATCCATCTCTTGTGTATGCAGGCATGGCTAAATCTTTCTAGTGCCCAGAGGTACACCACCTGGACAAGTTGGTATGCATCCCAGCCAGAGTATTATCATCCCTGGATTGGTGGATGCCCCCAGGCATTGTGTTCAGGGCAGTCCCATTCTTACCAGTTCTCCCCTTAATGACTTTCATCAATGGATGCTTCCATCATGGAGTAGGGAGCTGCAAGCTCAGGGCATGTGGTCTATTCACATGGCCAGGCTACACATACATGATCTCAAACTGTGAAGCAACGTGCAACATTCTGAGCATGTCAGCAGTTCCTGTCACCCATTCAAGCCAGGTGCTCACAGGGAGCGCCACAGCTATGTTTTATGTAAACAAGCACCAGGTCAGACAACCTGTGTCAGGAGGCAGTCAAGAAGTGGAATTTCAGTGTAAGGAATTGTATAACTCTCAAGGCTTCACACCTGCTGATCTAAGCAGAGACCACGAACTCTCTCTCAGCCCATGAATTCTAATGTGTCGGTATTTCAAGTTGTGGGAATTCCTACGGTAGATCTGTTTGCAACATGGCAGAACAGGATATTCCCCCACTGTTGCTTCAAAGCTGGCTACAGTCAGGGTTCCATATCAAATGCCTTCCTATTTCCATGAAACAATGATATACTAGATGCTTACCCACCAGTACCTCTCATTCCCAGAGTGATATTGAAACTCAGATAGACAGAGGAAGGATGATCCTCATAGCCCCAGCCTGGCCAAGACAACCCCATACTTTGATCTGCACAGGCTTACTTCTCCAGCTAGTCAAGGACTATAATCTTTTAAGACCACAGTCAGGTGTTGCATCTGAACTCAATAAGTGCTTCACTTCAAGAATTGGTTTCTTGTTGGTTAATGCCAGAAGTGGCACGTTGTTCAGCAGCGATCCAAAATATTCTGCTCAGAATAGAAGAAAACCCTCCAGACCATAGCTTACTTATCATAAGTGGAAACACTTTTCCTTGTGGGTGGTCCACCACTATTTGTCTCTTAATCTTTCAATCTAGAAGATTTTGGACTATTTTCTACGTCTGAAAGAGTCAGATCTGTATGCAGTGTAGTTGTAGCCGTGTAGGATATGAGAGAGACAAGCTTTCATGACCTGAAGGAGAGCTCTGTGTGGCTCTCACCAACAGAAGTTGGTCCTAGAGATGTAAAAGGTTAACCTGCCTTAACCGTTAACCCCGGGCCGGCCGGCCTGCCAACACCAGCAGCACCGCACCGTCTGGAGTGGGCCCAGCTGCGCCGCCCGGCCGGATCTGCGCCACCTGGCCGAAGTGGCTCCAGCCGCACCACCCGGCACGACAGCGCCACCCAGCCAGAAAGGCCCCAGCCATGCTGGCAGATGAGCCCCAGTCCCCGCTGCGCTGGCTGGCAGGATTGGCCCCACTTGCTTAATCGGTTAATCATTTAAACGGTTAACTTTTTAAACGGTATTTACATCCCTAGTTGGTCCAATAAAAGATATTAGCTCATCCACTTTGTCCCTCTAAGAGTCAGATCTGGCAGTCAGCTTGATCAAGGTGCATCTGGCTGCAATTCCTGTATGTCACTCTCGTATTACTGGAAGGACTGTGTTCACTAATCCCATAGCAATCAGATTCCTGAAATGATAGAATAGGCTTTGCCCACTTATTTGGGATTTGGCCCTGCCTTAGGACTTGAATTCTTTAGGCTCTTATAGGGCTTCCATTCGAGTCCTTAGTCTCTTGTTCAGTGTTACATCTTTTGGCTGAAGTACTCTTCTTAGTAGCCATCACCGCCACTATCAGCCAATATACTTACTGGTCTCTTTTCCAAAGCCACACATTTAGAAAAATGAACAAAAGCTGCATACTCTGGATATGTGCAGAGCTCTGGCTTTTTATCTGGATAGAACAAAACTCCTTCAGGTTTCTTGTCAGCTCTTTGTTTCCTATGCAGAGAGAATGAGAGGTCATTCTGTGACGAGAGAGACTTTCTAAGCGGATTACCAGTTGCATTTTTGTGTGCTATAATGCCAAACTTCTGACACGTCTTGAAAAACTGTCAGTGCATTCATCTAGAGCACATTTGGCATGTACTGGCTTTGTGGGAACTGATCCTATTGTTGACATTTATAGGGTAGTGACATGTATGTACCTTTGCTAGATATTATGAGATTATAACTGCCTCAAGGAGTGACATGAATGTTGGGGAAGCATTCCAACAGTCCCTCTTCAGATGAGACTCTGAGCCCCATCTCCATTGAAAACAGCTTGGGAGTCACCTCCACTGGAATGGACGTATGTAATCACCTGAAAAAGGAAAAACCTGTTACTTACCTTCTTGTAACTGTTGCTCTTCAAGATGGGTTGCATATATCCATTCTGTGACCTACCCTCCTTCGCCAGCACATCAAAGTCTATCATTATGTGATTCTCATGCAAAGGAAGTGAAGGAGAGGTGGGGGAGTGGGTTCCACCCTTTATATCTTCAGATCCAGGCAGAAGGAAGCCAGGTTACCCTTACATGTACCGCTAGGGAAAACTCTCCGGCACTGGTGCATGAAATCTCCTCCACACCCACGCGCACAATAGAATGGACATGTGCAACACGTCTCACAGAACAACACTTACGAGAAGATAAGTAACCATTTTTCTCCTCAACAGCCAAAACTCCCAGCTGAGGAGAAGGCTGTCAGAATTGCGGGGCAGGCAGCTGGGGCAGGAGCAGATGCAGGCTGGAGCAGGGGCATGAGCTAGAGCAGTGGTCTCCAAACTTTTTTGATCACGCACCCCATCAGTAAAAAAATTGTTGAGCACGCACCACCTGCTCCCGGCCAAACTGTCAAAGCCCAAAAAAAAAAAGCCGCTCGGACTCCCAGTCGAACTGCCGAGGGAGGGGGGAAAAAAAGCGGCGCTGTTCCGGCGGCGCTTCTCCTGCCGCGCACCCCGAAAGATCCTCTTGCACACCCCCTGGGGTGCGCGCATCCCACTTTGGAGACCACTGAGCTAGAGCAGAGCAGGCTGGAGGGGGAGTGTGCCCAGGACCAGTAGCAGGGGCTGAAGCACGAGCACAGGCCGTCTGTCAGAACTACAAGGCAGCTACTCGTGCTCCTGGCCAGGAAGTGACATTGAACAGACAGGAGAGACTGCTTCCCTTGGGAGCTGATATACCTGCCTTGGGATCACCTGGGTGGATGCTTAGTCTAGATATCCTTCTCCCCCTGTAGTGCCACGTGTCTCCTTCACGGGGTCTGAAAATCCCCAAAAGCATGAGAATGGCAAGGAAATGTTTTCCAAGTGTGACACTAAAACTGGAACAAGTTTAAATATCTTGGAATAGAGAGGGTTTTTTTTCTCTAATTGTATTGCAACTTGAGGCTTTTCAGGTTTAGGACCCATGATCACATGGCCTTGTCTCAGCAAATGGCTAACCAGTCAATGCTTGTCATTTCTTCTTATCCCAGGAAACCATTGGGCCTGCTTTGAATTCTTCTTTTATATTTTTGGCATCGTCTTCTCTGTATCCCTGGTCGACTCTTTAAGTTGGCCTACCTAGAATAGCTTTAGCAGAAGGATGGTGAACACTCCTTTTAACCTATAATCACATTGTGTCCTAAAACATAATCATATGCTTGACATGTGTACACACCCCATCTATATTTATAATGATATGATAAATAGCTTGTTAAAGTGCAGTGTTGTTGCCACTAAGTGACCTCCTTTTAGATGCATACGGAAGAAATTAACTGGTGAATGTGCTGACATAACTTCTGTTAGACATTCATGTCCACTTTTCTAGAAGAACAATCATGATTTGTCTTGGTATTTTTATGTTGTGGCCTATCTGAGGATCTCAAAATGATGTATAAACATTAATGAACTAAGTCTCATAAGTCTCCTGTGAGACAGACACATTATCCTTGTTTTACAGAAGGGGAAACCAAGGCAATTTCCTAAAGTCTCAAAGCAGTGACTGGAACTCAGATCCTCCTGTGCTTTAACTCTCACACACTTTCTCTCCTGCCAGTGTACTTACTGCAGGAAGGTGTAGTTAGGGATAGCTCAGTGGTTTGAGCATTGGCCTACTAAACCCAGGGTTATGAGTTCAATTCCTGAGGGGGCCATTTAGGGATCTGGGACAAAAATCTGTCTGGGTATTGGTCCTGCTTTGAGCAGGGGGTTGGACTATATGACTGCCTGAGGTCCCTTCCAACCCTGATATTCTAAGTTACAATGAATGTTGACTCTGAAATCTTTTTTCCTTTTCTAGGCTTTTTTTGTTGACCACAATTCCCGCACCACCACGTTCATTGACCCACGGCTTCCCTTGCAGAGTAGCAGGCCCACTAGTGCATTAGTGCATCGACAGCACTTAACCAGACAGCGCAGCCACAGTGCTGGTGAGGTAAGCCAGAACTGCTCCTCCTGTTACTTAGCTAACAAGGATTTCAGGATCATCCAGTTTTCACATCATTCCTTTCAAACATTATTTTGTCAATAGTTTAATGGTTCCGCCAGCGTGGTATCCACCTGCAAACAAAAGACGTTCTTACCTTTTGAAAAGCCAGTGATGGTCTTTATTGTACAAGGAAAGGTCTGATTTGATTATGTTAATAATCTGATAGGATTTTATCTGCTGCTATTAAATGGCAGTAACTCCATCAAACCACAGGAGGGCTCTTGAATACAGATTTCTTCACCAAACAGCAGTAGCCTGTTTTTTACTGCCACAGCAATTTACACTGACTAGGGAAGTGTCAAAGCAAGTAGGTGATTTAATTTAGAAAAACAAGTTTGTGTGGGTGCACGCCTAAATATTATACTGTTTCCCCATATATGCTATGGTACTATAGACCAAGAAAGGTAAAAATTCTTCTTACCACTGACAGAATGTCAGATAGTTAAATTTTATGGTCCATATGACATCACACTAGTAATAATAATATAACCTTTTTAGAACATTGATTCTAAGGAGAAATGCTTAAAACCTCTTATCTATAATATAAAGAAATTCTGTAATTGGGTTCTGATTACAAAACTCTTGAACTGTATTGTTTTCACTAGAAGGCTTTGAGTCAATTATGTCCTGACTATAAGATATTTTTATGTTTATATGCATATGCAAATACTGTAGGCTAGTTCCTTGACTGTACTGAGTTTACCTTCACTGCAGTTGAGGAAAGAGGTGGGGAAGGTGGTTCTAAGAGATCTTTCCACTGCCCTCACTTAGATCTGGTCAGGGACCAACACTGCACTCAGCATAATTTAGAGGAGCTAGAGGGCTGCTCTAATTTATGTTGTCTGTGAGTAGCAACTGTGGCAGATGAGGATCTGCCGGAATGCTTCCTTACTCCTAGCATGCATTTTCCCTGCTTCCCACCCCTGATGTACCTTACTCAGGGATGGCTGGCGACAACCTGAGAATTCCCCTGCAGTGGGGGAAAACCTGTGCTGCCTCTTTAGGTCAGCTTTCTGCCCTCGACACTCTGATACAATCTCTAATAATATGATACAGTCTGTAATTAAATTATCACAAACTGTTTGTTCTGCCCTGCTTTGTTCAGTGCACAGAATGGAGCAGGAATAAGGCAAAGGATTGCAAGAAGTTAAATTTTTCTCTTATGCCTAGGGCACCGGCCTGGGACTTGTGAGAGCGGGATCATCTGATCCTGACTTTGCCACAGACGTACTATGTCATGTTGGGCAAGACTCTGTTATAATGTGTATGCATACGGGACTGAATTAAAGTTGTGTGAACAATGTTAATTTTAGCATTTTCTAATTTTGGGGTACTTGATTTTTGCAATGTTTTTTTAACCTAGTCTTTGGTATATAGTGCCAACTACAGCCCCTTTTAGGGTCTAAGCATCTTGCAGGATGGGTCTTTAAACAGTACCTATTTTAGACAGAATACAAAATGATATTTGGTGATATGTTTTATTAGCCCCAGGTTGGGCATTTCTCAAAAGTGGCTAACCCGGTGGCTATGCAGGTCACCTCGAAGTAGTACTAATACAATATTTATAGCACTACACATCATTGTTTAATTTATGCAGTATTTTAGAGAGAATTTGCTTTAGAAAAATATTTTGAGCTTTAACTTTTTTATTGGCATGATCCTATCCTGACACCCATAAAGCTAGGTTTTCTTGGTAACCAGATACTGGCCTTGGTTTTTCTTCGAGTGCTGATGCCTATGTGTTTTTCATACATGGGTACATGTGCGCACCGTGCTTCTGAGATTGAAGATTTCTAGCAAGTAGGGCCTGTTGGTTCGCACCTACACAGTCGCTCTCCTTGTGCTCTGAACCAAGGGTGTAAGTGGCAGTGCAGATCAAAACCTCTCCAGTTCCTTCCCACCACTGCATGGTCTGAGTCAGAAACCTCTGTGTCCACAGCTACCTCCTTCTTCATCTTAATCTGTAAATATATATTGTAAGTAATTCTCAGTATTTTAGTATTGATGGTTTTTAGTAGCATTATAGCAGTTTTTCCCTGCATTGGGGAACTTTTCCCCCACAGACAAGGAAGATGCTCAGACTTCCAGAGTTTAAGAATTGTATCATCTGCTCCTGCTCCTTCTCAGTGAGCAACGAACACCAGCGCTACCTTTACTGCGTTGGCAAGGCTCACATCTCTGCTTAGTGCAGCATCTGTCACTCCTTCCCTCCCCAAACCTATGAGGATTGAAAGCTCTAGGTAAGAAAGAATCTCCTGGAGAAGGTCATGAGACCTCAGTCAGATCTGGCCTGGGTAGACCTCCCTGTACACCAAACTTAGTAGACGAGCAGCGTCCTTCCAGGCACTAGCTCGGGAGCTTAGGCAACAACTGCAAAGACCAAAGAGTCCCTTCCTAGAGACTCATGAGATCATAGGGCACTTTCACAAGAATAAGGATAGATCCTCTTCAAATGCTGCTCCTAGAAAAAAAATCCCTCCCCAACTCTGTCCAAATTGGGTGAGTCTTCAAGTGCAAATACTAAGGATGTAGGCCTGCTTAATTCTCCTCAACATGAGTGAAGGAGTAAGTATTTTTTTGGTACCAACTTTGGTTCTGATGCATAAACCAAAGGATTGGCACCCACTGGCACAGTCTAAGAACTCCAGACTAAACTTTGCACCAATACTGGCCCATCTCCAGATGTACCTGACATCTGCTATAACCAGGGAGCCGCCGGATCCATCAGTCCCATCCACAATATACCCCACACTCTGGGACGGCCTATGTCTCCCTGGAGAATATCTTCACACTCCCCATCTTCAATCTCCTCTCCTTTTGGGCCTGACCTTATTCAGCAACAGCATCACACTGGAGGAAGAAACTACATCAAAGACACAAGGTCGATCCCCCGTTCTCTCCAAGAGCCAGATTGCTTGTTTACAGGTACCAACGGCTCCAGTGGTTGAACAGGAACCTGCCTTCTCATCGGCAGAGTTGGAGGCTCCAGACAAACCATTACATGCACACAAAGAGGCTAATCCTGAGAGAAGCTCTGGCAGATCTGTGTTCCACCCCATTCAGGGGACTGATGGTACCCAATGCCCTGGAATGTCGCCCCTGACCAGCTAATCCTTCATGCTGGCATAATTGGGGCCCTAGGGATCCTTACATTACACAGAAGATCCATGCAAGAATCCTACCTACCTTCTCCTAGCTGACACTAATCGGCTCTGTTAGAGTATGAGGGAGGAGAGATTGTGATGGATCCGATGGTCCTGATGGGGCTGTCTCTTCCTCCTTTCCAAATGAGGCAATTATTCAATCTTCCCACATTATTCCATCTTCAACACATTATTCCATCCCCACTTGATGATCACAGGCAATATCAAGAGCTCTTACAGCTATCTTTGTCTTCTTAAAACCACTACATCAAGGATCTAATCTCGCATCTAAGCAAACTACCCTTGTTGAAGGAAAACTAATGCTTAATGGAAAAAACCTCAAAATATTGTCTTTTGCCTTGTCTATCCAAAAGTGTTGATTTTTAACATCCGGTCTTGTTTTAGATTGAGAACCCCTAAAACAAAAACATATTTGAAGGAAATTCTTTTAATCAGAGGAGGAACTAGAACACTGAGATGGAGCTAACAACAACAACACTACTCAACTTTACGCTTTCCAGCAATTCAATATCTACAAACAAAAAGGTCTTTCCTTTTCTCATAGAGAGAGTACTATTCAGAGAGCACAAAAATGTTGGGAGAAATCTCAGGGCTTTTAGTCCTTTATGGTTCTAGAGGCTAGACACAGCACTGTAATGCAGCACTGATATTGTTTGGTCTTAGGGAGTGAGACCTTGGGAATACAGTCAGATGCAGTATCTCTGCATGGAGGGGTTCAGCAGTACACATAATGGCTGAGTGGGATGAAAAGGAGATTGAGCAACTGGCGTAGTAGTAATAATAAGTAAAAGCAAAAAATAATGGTAATGCAACAAGATCAAGCCCACAAAAGCCAGAAAACTGAAGAAGTTGCTCTGACATTATGGTCACTACTAGGAATCACTTTAAAGTATCACTTTTCTGTGAAAAATAATTCTGTTCAAATAACACCTTCTTTCTCCCTGTGTGAGTTCAGCGTCCTATCTGCTCTCTTTGGTGATAGCACTAAAACAAGCTTATTTTGTTTTTACTCATGTGTACCCCCAGAACCCACCCAGCTGAAAGAGAGTGAGCTGGATTCTAGTGCTTTTCTAAGGCTTTGGCTACACTCGGGACTTCCCAGCACTGTGAAGCGCGAGTGTAGTCGCGCCCCCAGCACTGCGAGAGCTCTCTCACAGCGCTGTATGTACTCCACCTCTCCGAGGGGAATAGCGTGCAGCGCTGCGAGCGAGCGTGCAGCGCTGCAGGCTCTGATTACACTGGCGCTTTACAGCGTTGTACTCGCTGCGCTCGGGGGAGGGGCGTTTTCACACTCCTGAGCTCAGCAAGTTGCAGCGCTGTACAGCGCCAGTGTAGCCAAGGCCTAAGTCATCATGAGAATTGTTTCCAGTCTGCTAGACCTAGGCCAGGATGAAGAAGGTTAATTTGTTTTTTGTTTAGTTTTTTGCTTGCTGCTGTCCATAATTACTACTGTACTTTTAGGTAGGAGAGGATGCCCGTCATTCAGGACCACCAGTTCTACCAAGACCATCCAGCACGTTTAATACAGTCAGCAGGGCTCAGTACCAGGACATGGTTCCAGTGGGTATGTCAGGACTTGGAGTTCTCTTGAGGGAAGTGTACTTTGATTTAACTGTGCATGTCAGTATGGGTTTTTCTTATTTTTGCTTTTACTGTATGTTATGGCTAACTCTATCCATTATCATTCCCTATCATGGAATTTCAATTTGTGTGCGTAATAGTGAAGAACTTCCAGGCATGACCAATTTATTAATACCAAAATGTTTGCTAGTTAATGCAAAGGGTTTCTTGCATTAAATTTTCTAATTAACTTCCCCTCAGAAGTAACTAGAAGAGTTACAAATAGAGGGCCAGACTCTATTGACCTGGACCCTATGTCGTCCCATTAATTTCAATACAAATATTAGACTTTTATTTCAGAGGGCTTCCATGAGGTGTGAGTCACCTCAGAATTGGTCAATAGCCTACATTTTGTTCTCAGTTATACACACACACAAGCCTTTTGACGTCAGTGCCACTAAGAAAATAATTTAGTGCACTGAATTAACAGGCATTGTGCAAAAAATCATGATTGGTTAATTTGCTTGATCTTTGATTAGTAGCACAGTTACTTGACAGTCACCACCAATTTAAACTCCTTTCACTTGCTATGGACACTGCATATTTTTCAGATTCAGCATTTGGTGATGTTTTGAACAAAGATACTTTTAATTGCTGTTTAATAATTGACAGTGGAACGGGCACAAACAGTTTGAGTGGGTCCTCACTTCATAGACCAAACCACTTTAGAGACATGAGTAAATATAAAATATTTATGTAATCTTTTCTTTGTGATAGAATAAACAGTAAAAATAAATACATAAATGAAGAGATGGTCACTGCCAACCGCATTTCAATAGCTTTTCATTACTTTTGACTGTAATATTTGTCAGACCTTCTTAGAAGTTTCACTAGTGACTGCATCTTACTCCTGTATGGCACAATACAAGTTGTCTGCCAATCCGTCCAGCAGTAGGATTGCTGTTGTCATCAGAAATGTGTGAAGCTGCATAAGCCATGTGTGTTCAAATATACATGCTGCAGAGCAGGAAGAGAAAATGATGCACTATGTTGTAATGCAACACATCATAATCATGGGTATTGGGAAGGAAGTTGTCGTTCCCAGTGACAGAACAGGGAAGTTATAAAAGTATATGATAATAGTAGAATATTTCTTGCCAGATAAAACTATGTGAAAGTAGATCAAATTGCCATACCAACACTGACAGTGTCCTTATGAATTTTTTTATTGATCGTTTTATTCCTGTTACAAAAAGGAAGAGGAATAAAATCTATGAAGCTTTAAGTCTTTCTTGAAAGCAAAAATAAGGAAATTCACCATTAAGGCAGAAAAGCTGGCTAATACACTTGTAATTCTAAACTCTTATGGTACACAATGACAATACCTAGGCAAAGTGGCATGAGTTAAGGCTGGTATGGAAGCCTAGATTTTCAGCCTTATGTGTGAAGATATTACTTTTGTGAGACCATATCAGATCCTTAATATGAGTAAAACAGATAATTATTTTTCGGAATAGTGGAAGCAGGGAGAGAAGAAAGCAAAACAAAAATACCCGCACGTTAATGTGTAGCCAAAAAGAAGCACATGTAATTTACTATTATGTTTTCACCTGGTCTAAGAAATAAAGAAGTATAGAAAATAAGGCCCCCTACACTTCATTCATATGGATATATGTTCCAGGTTGACATGAACTGAGGCTCTATGTGATGAAATATTATAATACTTTGAATTCTTAAAAAAGGCACATTAACATCTGATAGTGTTTTAATCTAAAATTTTATTCATAATAAAGCTGGCCATGTATATCCAAATTCAAAAACCAGCACCAGCCTTTAGGCTAAAAATGTAATGAATAGATTGTATTAATGTTGTAAATAAAAAGATTATGAGTATAAAGACATAATTCCATTATTATTATTATTATTCAGAAGTTACAAAAATATGATGCTGTTTTTCAAATGCACCTGTTTGCAGTAAGCTGTTTTCGGTTGCCACTTACAGCCTACAACGACAAGATTGTCGCATTTCTGCGACAGCCCAATATCTTTGAAATTCTACAAGAGCGTCAACCAGATCTTACCAGGAATCCTTCACTCAGGTAATGATGTTGATTCTGTTCTCCAGCTGTACTTTCAACTGACAGTCCTGTTTCAGATCAGACAATCAATTAGTATTCTTTTTTTCTGGCAAAGTTTGCAGTATTTAAAAAAAAAAAAAAAAAAGGGCACATTGCTTGCTGGTTGGCTGTCCATTGGTCATTTATAAACTTAAACTCTCTCCTTCCTCCCTCCCTGTCTCCCCCCAGGCCTCCCCACAGAAAAAATCCCCCAAACCTTCTGTAATTTCAGCCTGTCAGAAACAAGCTTACTCAAAGAATTGTAGGAAACATTCCTTTAATGTGCTGTTATGTAGTGGCTTTGGACCTTTGCAATAGTGCAGTTATGCTCTTTCAGGATCTTGCAGACATGCATCCAGCCTGTCAGCTGCAAGGCCATAAATAGCGCACTTCAGTCTCATCTCCATGTCTTCTCATTTGGTTCTCTGCTCAGGTCCTCAGCCATTGTCAGGTGGTGTCCAAGTAGGGCAAGTTTTCCCACGCTGGGGAGGGATGCAGGGGAAAGAAAAGGAATAATAGGAGCAGATGAAACTGCATGGATCTGTCCTTCCTTCCTTCCCCCCACCCCCACTGCAAATGTGGCCATGGGCACCTCTGTGCAAACCACAGCTCCTCAAAAGGTTTACCTGATTCCTCCCCCTGTTCTTAAACTGCAGCTTGACAAACTGGTCTTCTCTTCTCTGCTCCCTTAGCACTCTTCCTAACCACATTAGCGCATGTGGCCTGGCTCCCAGAGCCACCAATGAAATCTGCCATTGCCAGCAACACGTAGCCTTGGGCAACCAAGGAAGTGGGAAGAGAGTGTGTGCGTGTGAATAATAATTTTCAGTGAGAAACAGAGAAGAAGAGAATAATGAAAACAAAAAGGGATGGGATGAGCAAACCCATGCTAGGCAGGCAGGGGAGAAAGTGAGCATAGATGGACAACTCAGGGTGCTAGGGCATGGAGCAAGGGGAACGGGAGCTGGAAGAGGATGTTGCCAGCCTGCCATTCCATTACAAAGACAGAGTATCTAGGGGAGAAAAAGGTTGGAGCTACTGACATAGGATATCTCCAGAAATCACAGAATCTCACTGACAGGCAGGCAGGCAAGATGTGGCCATTGGTGGTGTTGAGTATGTGTAGGTCCATGGGTATGAGGCATTCAGATAGAAAGGCGTTGGTTGGGGCCCTGCTCATCTTTCTTGATGTATACTGTAGGGTTCTTCCTAAACCTAGAGTTGGCCCTGCCTTTTTGGATAAGTTCAAGCAGCAATATCTATTTAGCATGTTTAGAGTTGCACAGATGGTTTAGGCACAGCCCCACGAGATACATAGTATGTTATGAAAGATGCTTTATAATATTATATGGTGATTACAATATTATATAGCACAGGTAGACTATAACTGATACAGGGTGAAATTCACCCCTGTGCAGAGGCTCAGCACAAAGCCACTAAGTCCTCCTTACACACGTGATTAATTTTTAAGAGCATGAGTAGTCCTGTTGATGTCATTGGGATTACTGTTATGCGTAAATTAAGCATGTAGTTAAGTGCTCTGCTGGACTGAAGTCTAAGGGTTTAGCACATTGCAGGACTGAGCTTTAAATCCCTCATAAAAATGCTGGACTTGTATAGGTCTTAGGCTGACCCTTTTCACAGGAGTAAATTTCACCCTTGGGGCATGAGGTATACCTATTTCGTAATTCAAGTATGTTGTGGAAGCAGAAAAAGAACTGTCAGAAAAGTTTGCTTAGCTGTAAAACTAACTCGCTGTTAACATGGGAATTAGAAATTGGTGTTCAAATGAATGTTTTCAGAACTATCTTGGACACGCTACTGTTGAAAAATGTGTTAGTTCATTGCTGCACGTCTATCATTATGGTGGTTATGTAGATTTTGATCTCATCGTACGCTCTGGCTGCCAATGCAGTGCTCTCACTTCCCAGAGTCAGAGTCTCGCGTGTTCTAACAGCCTGATCAGTAGGTGCTGGCACAACAGCTCCCACTACTTATCTGCCTCCTTTTCTGTGCAGTGATACATAGGGTATGAGTGCACAGCAATTAGAGGTGTGACTGCAGCACGTGTAGCTGAAGTAATTGGCAGTGAAGCCGCAGCAGCACACACTGTACACTTGAGTGGCTGGCCCGTGCTGCTGCCCATGCTGCCGCAGCTTCACTGTTGTTGTTGTTGGAGCTAGCTAAATCAAAGCTAGCTCAGGTATGTCTGCTCAGGTATGTCTGCACATGCAGCAGTCAAACCTCTGCTTGTAATGTAGACATGCTCTTAGTGACCCTGCTTCCTGCATGCCCTGCAAGTTCTCAAAACTCAGCCAGCTCTCCTGGTTTGCAGTTTCCCTGAGCTTCGTGTCCTAACAAATAGACCGATGACTGATTTATCCTCTGAATAAGTACTGGCTGACAACCCTGAAATCAAGTGCCAACAGAATTCACACTTTCCAGAAAATTGAGGGAGGAGGAAAATTAAAACCCTGCAGATCTCAGCCTGTCAGTGTTTTCTGTTTGTACCCATATTATTATGCAGAAGGCTGGTCTCATTTGAATTGTGTTAAACACATGAACAAGCCAATCCATCAGGTAATAAAATAAAACCAACTTCTGGTTTTTCCCTGAGGTTCTTGGCTTCAGTTACTCCAATAGCAACAGCCCCAATGTCTATTTTCCACTTAATTTCTGCCCTGTTTTACTCACTTTGCAAATCAGAAGATGTTCAAAGGATTATTGACGCCATCAGATTATGCTTCTTATAGTATCTTGGATCCTGGATCATAGCATCAGAGCAAGCTAGCAGCTGGGACCTTGTCAGGATCAGTTAGTTTACAGCTTAAAATTACAGACCAAGGGTAAGAAAGGTGTTAGTATATGCCAGTAGATAGAATCCATTACTCACTAGGTACAGTTTGTCCCTGCTGATATCCCTATAGTAACTAGATTGAAGAAATGTGTCTCTTATCTGCCTTAGCAGAGGGATGGAGGATTTTATTGAATAGAGGACCATAATGCTTTGCTCAGTGTAGTTGGTTTGAGAGGATACACTGCATGGCCAGATCTTTGCTCTCTTGCTCCTTGAAGTTATGATGCTTGGTTAAGAATTAGCTGCCTTCCTTCTCCCCCTAGCCCCTACTCCCACATTCTTTAAAACTGTATCTCACACCGTTTTTATAGGACTGACACTTCCATCACATCACTGCGTATTTTTTATGAAGGTGCCGCTACCCGTTTTCCTAGTTAGCTCTTTAAGGCCCTGATTCAGCAAAATACTTGAGCATGTGCCTAATTTGAAACATGTGACACTGAGTAGTGCTATTGAAGTCACTTAAAGTTAGGCACATGCCTAATTACCTTGCTGAATTGAGGCCTATGGGGGGTGATGATTAATGGTGTGTGTATGGCCAGCATGCACTCCTGGGACTGTGTTGTATTTGTTTGTTCTATTATCAAAGGGGCATGTTGAGTTTAATTCTTATGGAAGTTTAAAAATAAATCAGATCTTGGATTACCTTTGTTTTAATACATGTGCACACAGTTGGACAGTATGTAAATAACTGAGCATGTTGTTATTGACATTCACTTCTCCATAGCTAGGGATTATAAATTACTTCCAGTTGTACAGCAGCTCTTTTCTGGATTGGCTGGACTCTCTCTCTCTCTCTGACTCTTATGGGGGTGGCAGGACATTACTGGGCTTTCTCTGGTGTTTCCCTAGTAGACGTGCAGGGCTTGAACTGCATTTTATGTATTTTCCCTGGTGTCTTTGCTTTAGTTGGTGCTTTTGATGAGGAGTTTTGGGCCAACCCATGTGTGTCGGTAGTAGGAGGCAACAGCTCTTGTGGTTGGAATTTCTTCTCTTGTCTGTGGCTTTAATTGGTTTGTGTCTGAAATGTGCTGGTTTACTGCTGGAAAGTTTTTACTGTTGTTTTTCTGAGGAAGTGATAGTTCCTGGAGGGATTTTTTGTTGCTTGCAATTGTTTGGTTTTTAAACATGCACATTGCTTGCTCGCTCGCTTGGAAATTCCAGCCCCATTGAAGTCAGTGGCAAAGTTCCTATTCCCAGGAGGGCCAGGATTTCATCCTTTTTTATTTCTGACCTGACTTCTAGTGCTGCTACTGCTATGGCTTCATCTTGTTTCCTCTTCTCTGCATCTCCAGTGCTCTCAACTTCCTCTCCGATTGCCTCACCATATCCCTTTATCAACTTTTGCTTCTCTTCCTCCCTATTTCTGGTCATGTGAACACTACTTCATTCTCTTTCCTACCACCTCCCCTGTCGTTCCTCCCTGCCCTCATAAATCTTATGCTCCCAAGTGTGTTTACTTTTTTCTCCTCTGCCTTGCTCCTTTTCACCTTCAGATGTTATACAGGTTCCTAGGCCCCTTATTCTTGTTCTCCCATCCTCAATCCCGTCTTCTTTCCTTGCATTCCGTATTTAATGCACCTAACTTTGTTCCCATCCTTTTGTTCTTTTCACCTCCTTCTCAACAGCTGTGTTCGTTTTCTCTCTCTCTCTCTCTCTGCCATTTTTAGCCCCCTTGTCTGCCTCCCTCTATATTCTTTGCCTTCACTTAAATCTGGCTGTCTCCTTGTGACTTTCTGTGGCCATCCTCTGGCAGAGTCGTAGAATCACCTTTCCCCTTCTCCTTCCAACAGCTTCTCTTCTTCTGAGGTCCATCTAGCCAACCTTTTACTACTGTTCAAGCTGTTGTCATCTTCCATCCTGCCTCAGTTGTTCTCTTTGATGGGCCTCATGCCTGATTCTGAACAATTTCAGCTTTTACGTTGATGATCCCTCCATCTCCCTGCTGAAATCTCTGCCCTTGTTTCCTCCTATTGACGCTCCCCAGTTCCTTTGATCTATAGCTTCTCTCCCACCAGGGGCCCATGGGAGGCCACCACAGCCCCAAAAGTGGCCATGTATCTAAGGTTGCTGGGGCTGGGCAGAATCAGCACATCAATAGCTTGGTGCAAACGCAATCCCCCAGTCTCCAGGAGAGGCCAGTGGTGAACTCTTACCCCAGAGTGCAACGGATTTCACTGGTATAGAGAGGTGTAACTTCTGAAGCTGGTTCAAGGTCTTGTTCTCCTGACTCTGTTGCAGTTAAGTAACACATACACTTCACTCACCCACCCCCCAATAATTGTTTTATTCAAAGGCATGCATCTGGGGATTTTAATCTGCGTACAGCCTAAAAATCAGTGGTATGCATAGAACACAGAATAGTGACTGACTTGAATTGGGAGGTGGGGGAGGGAAGTGTGCGGGGGTGGAGGAAAGTATGCGGGGGTGGGGACAGGGGGAGGGCTGGGAGAAAGGGAGAGATGTATGCATTCACACATCAGAAGGCCTTTCTGGAAGATCTGTAAGTGCAGTGTTGTATATAAAACCTACCTTAAAAAGCACGAATGAGCTGTAACATACAGCTTGAATTTGTACTAAAAGGGGAAGGGGAGAGGAAAGGAGTCGGAGAGTACTACTTTAAGCAGTTCACTTTCAGAATAGCAATGTCCTCCCACAGGGCTCTGTTTGCTGCTTTGAATTCAGGGCCACAACTGATACTAACTTGAGGGATTGATTTTTATTGGTTGGATGGCTGTGTTACCTGAAGCAGCCCGAGCATCTTACAGATGAGGGCAACAGGAGAATCATTCTTCTGAACAAATTAGGTTGGCTTTTCTTTTTTTGGTTGTAAGATTGTATTGCTCACATGGACATGGTGTGGCAGGAAGAAAAATGGTGTCTGAAATACAGAGGCATAACCCAGAGGTCTACTTGATATATCCTGCATTTTTTCTTGTTGCCCTGGTGTACATTGGTGCCTTATTTGCAAAAGATGTTTTGGAACTCTTCCTTTGCTTAAACAGGGAGAAGATCCAGTTTATCCGGACAGAGGGAACACCTGGACTAGTGCGTCTATCCAGTGATGCAGACCTTGTCATGTTACTAAGGTAGGTAGCAGTGCTTCATAATGGACGGTTAGGAATATGCTGTGAACAGCTGGTGAAGTGCCTTTCTGTGTATTATGTGTACTGACTAGGTGACCCACATGTCTCCCCTTCAGTTCTCAGAATTGCAGCTGGGGGAGCTGCAGCAGAGGATTCAGACTCTTGATTTTCCCAGTGCTGAGATTCCAGATGTCGGTTATTAGCAGGGAGATCACATTTTTCATAGCAGTGCAGAAAAGTGATTATCCCTGCAGGAAGGAGGGGGTAAAAGAGTACAATCCTGCAAGAAGAATTTAAACCCAATTACAGTCCAAGCTACTATATGAATCTCTTGCAAGGAAAAGAATAAATGGGCTTGTCCTGATTGCCCTAAATTGTTCAGTTATAGTCGTCGTTAGAAGGACAGAGATTTTATATAGATCAGTACAGTTTGAAAGTCCCTGCTCTGTGCTCCTTCAAGTGTATTTTCTGTTTAGCTCTGTGATTTGCAAGTACCAAGTTTTTGGAAGTTAGCACTTGATATGATTCTGTTATTTGAACTGAACACTACACTGTCTGTCTTTCAACTATGCTGACAGTTTTTGCTCACTTCGTTGATGGGATGATTGGTTATCACTTTTTGGGAGTGGGGAACTGTCCCTTTAGTGTCTCCCACTTCAGCATTAGTTCAGAAAAGAGAGACAAGGTAGGAGAGGTAATATCTTTTGTTGGACTAACTTCTGTTGGTGAGAGACACAAAATTTCAAGCTTACAAAGAGCTCTTTAGGTCTTCAGACCTGTGTAAACTTGAAAGCTTGTCTCTCTCACCAACAAAAGTTGGTCCGATAAGAGGTGTTACCTCACACATCTTCTCTCTCTAATCCTAGGACCAATATGGCTACAACACTGCATACCCAGAAAAACAGGCAGCTGAGAGTAGCGTCTTTCTTATGTCCGACACGTATGCTCATTCAGGGTGTAAGTGTGATAGAGAAAAAAATGTTTCTCAGGGAAAATCTAATATGTCTTTAGAAAAAAGTTTTAAATGTAATGTTAAAAATAGTCTAAATTATGAAGTGTCAGCATTAATATAATTGTTATGTGGGGGTGACATTGCATGAACATAATGGTCCCTCTTGACCTTAAAATCTGTGAATTAATTAAAAGCTATTTTAGTCCGAAACTGTGCTGATGCTATTTAAAGAAAAAATAAAAAGAATAGAAGACAACAAAACTGTAGGATTTTTTATTGGTACATAATACATGAAGAGGTCACAGGTTTTACAGAGAGAAACCGAGGTTCAGTTCTATTTCTGTTTTAAATAGACATGATGTAAATCATTTTGTCATTGCTGCTTGAATGTATTTTTCTGTTAATCTGTAAATTCTGCTAATACCGAAGACTTCAAGTAATTCTTATAATGGAAATACAATAATTTGATACTATATTGATATCTTTCTTTTGTGGAAAACACATAATTTAAAAAATTCAAAAAGACAAAGAGCACCACCACAAAAATGTACAAAACCAAATATCTGATTTTTCAGATTTTATTTACTTAACACACTTCTTAAAATCATATGTTTACAATGATTTTCTCTTAGTTTAACTATTAAGAGATTTGATCTGTGATTAGCCTTTTCAGTTCTAATAATAATCATTGTACTCAGGAAATGTATTATTGAATACATGATTTCTGTGTTTCCGTTGGTTCCCAAGAGCCTCAGTGCTGTACCTCAGAACTCACTAAGCTGGGTTGAATTATTCGGTAAGTTAGCTATAGGGTGATAGTAAATATTGATGTAACAGCAGAGATGGGGTAGTTTAAAACAGTAATTTAGTGTTTGTGCCTGATTTCTTATTTTAGAGTTAAACAGGAAAAAAAATTATAAAATGTTCTAACAGGAGCAAGATTGGGATGTTTCTCTATGCATCCTTGTCTTCACTGCATTCAAAATTTTTTACTGCTGGAGAATTTTCTTACTGCTGGAGAACATTACACAAATTTCAGCTGAATATAAACACTTTTCTATATAGGGAAAGAAGGTGCCTTAGTTAAAATAGCCTGAGAATAACTGATGTAACACAATATTCTGTTTCAGAGATGGGGTTCCTAGAAGGAGATAATTTGCACTTTGAGCTTGTAAACATACCAGTAGGCTATATCCTATGCAGTTCTAGTTTTATCTTGATAATCTAAACACAAATCAGGTTCTTAATTTATTCCCACATTGAACCAGTTTTTTCAGATTTTATCCACACTTGAAGAGCATAGGTCAACTTTTCTCTGTGAAAAAACATATTATAAACTGCAGATGATTTTTTAGGAGTGCAAAAATATTATCAGTAAATATCCATTCCAAAAAAACCCCCAACCACTCACAAAGAACTATTGCTGATATCTGTAATGAACATATTTGGTATGAAATCTGTTTTATTTTAACCAGTTAAATTACTATATCACTCAGAAATGAGAAAACCACAAGAGAATGATGTATTGTACAGTCTAACAATTGAAAATAAAGATTGTCATTTAACTAGTCGATTCAATGTGTATGTGTTGTAGTAACATCCAACAGCTGTGCTATTTCATATTTTATTTTATATACATATTATGTACAAATATTATAAACATGTCTGCTTTGGATGTTATGTTCTTACCAAATTGGAAAAAATCAATGAGATTTAGAGATATGCAAACATTCCATACATTGTCTATGAATTAGGGCTATCAATTAATTGCAGTTAACTTAAGCGATTAATGCTATTTAAAGAAATAGTCATAATTAACTGCAGTTTTAACCACACTGTTTAAACAATAATAGAATACCAGTTTAAATTTATTATAAATATTTTTGGATTTTTTTTTACATTTTCTAATATATTGATTTCAGTTACAAAACAGAATACAAAGTGTACAGTGCTCACTTTATATTATTTTTATTACAAATATTTGCACTGTAAAAATGATGAACAAAAGAAATAGTATTTTTCAGTTCCCCTCAGACAAGTACTGTAGTGCAGTCTCTTTATCGTGAAAGTGCAACTTACAAATGTAGAATTATTATTTTACATAACTGAACTCAAAAACAAAACAATGTAAAACTTTAGAGCCTTCCAGTCCACTCAGTCCTACTTCTTGTTCAGCCAATCGCTAGGACAGACAAGTTTGTTTACATTTGCAGGAGATAATGCTGCCACCTTCTTATTTACAATGTCACCTGAAAGTGAGAACAGGCGTTCACGTGGCATTGTTGTAGCCGGCGTTGTAAAGTATTTACTTGCCAGATATTCTAAACTTTCATATGCCCCTTCATACTTTGACCACCATTCTAGAGGACATGCTTCCATACTGAATTTAAATTGGTATTCTGTTATTGTTTAACAATGCAATTAAAAGTCTAATTAATCACAACTATTTTTAATCTCACAATTAATTGTGATTATTTTTAATCGTTTTACAGTCCTACTATGAACTATTAAATGGTATCTAATTATAGATTATTTCAATGTTTCAGGCTGTGAAAGTTATACTGTACTTCCTAGAAAACATTTTAAAATCACAGAAAAATAGGTGAGGCATACTGAAGCCTAACCTGGTGAAAACTGTATATGAACCATTTTTCTCTGTGCCTGACATGTTAAGTAAGAATAAACAAAGCATTAATTCCTAATAGACTAAAGTGTATATTGTTCAATTCACTAAGCCAATTCACACATGATTGATTACACCAGAAGTTCAGAGAATTTGTCTCTGTTCTTATGTACAGTATTACACATCTTTGTACAGGAAAGTGCCATGAATGTTAATGGTGTGTTGGCAGGGAAAATGTATAAGCAAAAGTATAAAACAATGCAACTTTTAAAGGGTTCATTAAATACATGGACCTTAGTTTTGAAAACAAATACGTAATCACATTGAGATGTCACACATAACACTAGGAACTGTGACTTCCCAGTCACTTGCAAGATGCCAGTCCTTGTTATACAGAGATAATATTGAAAGAAGGGCAACAAACCCCTGCTTTTTTGCATTCTGAGCATGCGCATGGGAGATAGGTGAGTGACTTTCTAAAAACCAGACTGGCTTTGAAGGCCACAGCTATTGCTAGAAAGTAGAACATATCCTTGGCTCAGATAAACATCTTCTGTCTTCTCCTGTTTGCTCCTTTTTACCAGTTTGTTCGAAGAAGAAATAATGTCATACGTGCCGCCACATGCCTTACTTCATCCCAGTTATTGCCAGTCCCCAAGAGGTTCTCCAGTATCCTCACCTCAGAACTCTCCAGGTAAATTTTGTTGAAGTTTACAGTGGGATCTTTAGGGAGCAATTCCAGATACTTAGTGTGGACCAAATAAGACCAGGGAATAAGAGTTTTGTCATTGACTTCACCGAGACCAGGATTTTACCCTCTGAACAAAAGCAGTAAAGGATTTCTTTGGCGGTCGGATGACTTTTTCTGTAATTACTTCATTACATTGACAGATTTAGTTCTGCATGATGTTTCTCAGAAGAGCCCTTTTTGTAAGACATGAAAGTCTTTCCAGAGGTCCTAGACAGGGAGATCATGAGAATCCACTGTAGTCCAACAGAGGTTGAAGCTGCATGACAAAAGTATACAAATAATGTAAATGCATCATCATTATTTACTCTCCAATTCTGAAGAGTGTAGTCTCATTTTCATATGCAGTAGGAACATATAGCTATGTGTATGGGGTTTATTTTCCATGATTTTTGCTCTTTAATCTGTAAATAATATCTAAATAACTTGTATTTATTGGAAGTCGTAGCACTGCTGATCTGATTGCAGAGGTTTATTTGATGGATTCTTTACAGGCTATAGTGTCTTGGTGGCCTTTTGAAATAAGTTGGTGTTCTCAGTCCAGTTCTGGTAGCGTTCCTCATCACAAAACCCACCACTGAAAGTGGTGGTAATTGGCACTCTTGTAAGCATTTTCACCAGAGTAGTTAAGGATTGAGGTCCTGACCCAGCAAAGCACTTAAGCCCAGGCTTAGCTTTAAGCATGTGAGTAGTCCCATTGACTTCACAACACAAATGAGGAAACTAAAATACCCTGTCACCCTGAGAGATGATCTTTCCAGTTCAGGGTCTTGGAAAGTGTGCTGTAGCTTACACTGCCACTGCCCATACAGTACAAAATCTATAGAACAGCCTGTAGGGATGTCAGTATAGCGTCTTTCATGAGCACTAAGATTTACTTTAAAAACATTGTTTGAAACATATTTTTGAAAAGGAAAATTGGGGAAAAAAATTCATTGGTGGTATTCTTGTTCTTAAAGGGGAAATAATAGTACACTATTCAGATAGGTCTGCTTCTTATTTTCTTGCAAGGCATGGGAAGTTTACTTAATACTGCTGTAAAAATTTTTTCAATGGGTTTGGGAATTCTCTTTGCAAACAAATTGAAATAAAGCAGTTGTATGGCAGCCTCATAACATAGGCCTGCTATTAACAAGGATAACCTTTTAAAAAAACATGACTTAGGCTCTTAAGTGCCTGAATCACCTTTGAAAATGGGACTTATAAACCTAAGTGCCATTGATTAGCAATGAGAATTAGGCACCTAAGTAATTTTAGCACCTCTGAACATTTTACTCCTACTGCACACAGGACACAGTGGCTTAGTAACGGCTGTAATCCCCCCAAAGTATTAGTTTAATCACAATACTATAATAATCTCATTATAGTATTTTTGTAATGCTGCTGTCATTATTAATTTACATTTTGCTTCACATAATTACATCCCAGTTTCCTTGAGATCAGAGCTCTGTGGTTGTAGCAGAACTAAGGCCTAATCCCATTTCTGATTCTAGCAAACCAGCGTGATGGGGCATGAACCTCTCAGACTGGAAACTTGCCTTGGGCTCACAATGAGATTTGACAATAAGAAAAATATGTGCTCAAACTCCAGAGCTTGTGCTTTGTTTCTGACTGGTAAAACTTGTTTCTAACTGCCTTGAAAGGGTTCACACTGGGGCACCAAAGCCTAGAGGGCTGAGGAATAAGGGGGAGCGACAACAGTTATACAAAGTCAGACTGCTGTCACTTACCATGTGTTTAAGAGTGTGTCTAGTGCAACTCAAGCCTGCTGTTGCACAACGATCTTTTTAAACCAACAGCTGCACATTTGCCATCACGTCACCCATTATGGTCTCATCTGCCACACCTGGATATTAGGGCGTAAAACACTCTGGCGAGAGGAATGGATATCAGTTATAATACCCAACCAGTCCCTCGTTACCGACCTCACAATTTGCCCGCCTGGTTTTGACCTGCCCCTTCACCAGTGGTCCCTGTTGAACAGGTTCCAGACCGGGCAAGGTCTCTGTGCAGCGAGCCAGTATCGCTGGGGCCTTCGTGACAGCCCTTTGTGCAGCTGCGGCACAGACGATGATGCACACTGTCGATGAATGCCTGCTGACTAGGTTCAGCGGTGGCCTACAAGAACTGCATCACGCCACTGAAGATGCCATCGCTTGGCTAGACGACTGTGCACACGCTAAATAAATCTGTCTGCAAACGCACACGTTAGAACTTAGTGACAATATCTGTGCATGTTTAAATAGTGATTAATAATTTAGTTAATTCAGACTAAATTATTTCAAATGTAGCAAAGCCTATTTTCTCCTCTGAGGACCACATACAGCAGTTTGATGTTTTCAGATATAGCTGGTATTATTTTATTGGAAAGGAATAGTGATAGATAAGTAAGGAAAAATGTGGGCTGAGACAAGACCACACCTGGAAAATTCAAACCCATAAGAAAGGTTATCAGAATGTTGTGTTTTTGTAGTCTTGCACTCAGCCCAACAGAACTAATAATCCATACCCCATTCTCACAAGCCTGGGGTAGCATGTGTGTGTCCTGAAAGTCAAAAGACTGGGTTCTGTGGGACCCAAGGTGGACTCTTCACTGAAAACATCCTGCTACCATTGCCCTTCCAGCAGGGCGCTGTCAGCCTGAGCTCTTCAGCCTATCTCAATGGTGCATTCTGCTGGGAGAAAGGTGATCTCTAAAACAGCAAGGGTCTGAAGCATTTGCCTTTTGTAGCTCAAACCAATACCTTGAACTTATGTGGAATCCAGTCAGAAGCCAGTCCAGGTCACAGAGCACGGTCATAAAGTTCTCCCTGCAAGAAGTTTTGCTAACCCAGCAGGCTGTTGCATGCTGCACTATCTGAAGGTTCCAGGTGGTCATCATGAAATGTGATTCATTTCACTCTTAATATGGATTTTGTTGCTGTAGAACAAATGCTACCACTCTCCAGTGTTTAATTTGTAATGAAAGAGATGCCGGGGCTCAAGCAGTTTTTTTTGTTTTTTGTTTTTTGTTTTTTTACTTTCATAACTGATGCGGCGAGCCAGAGGTGACGGGGCTACGAACTGCCAAGCCCAGAGGTGCTGAAGCTCCAACCTGGCAAGCCCTGGCACAAATTTAAGCGCTGGATCTCTCCACACAATCCATGAACTGAGTTGGTGGTAGGGGCATAATCTGTGTAAAATAAGTTAGCTTCTCTTTAGGGGGTCCTTCTCATCAGACTTTGTTGTTTTAATAAAATCTTCTTCTAAGAGGATTCCTAAATAGTTTGTGATGGATAAGGCCCCCTAACTTTCCAACAGACCTGTTAATGGGTCCTAATCTGCCCTGATAGAGCTGGATGTACAAAATCTGCTTTTTGCCAAAAAAAAAAAAGGGGGATGTGGTCGAACTGGAAATCTTTGACATGCTTTGGGGAGCGAGGGGTACGGAGCTGTAGTGTCCGAGCGAAGGTGCTTTGAGGCAGTTGGCTTCCTCAGAATACGCAAGAATAGAACACCTCAAGAGTGCTATGGGGAGAAGAGAGTATCCTGCTCCTTTGCCTCCCGAAGAGAGGAGCGGTGCATGCTCTCAAAAATGCCGGCTGCTGCTGGTAACTAGCAGGCACACTTAAGTCTGGTCATGCCCCCATTTTAACTTGTCACTCCCACTTTAGGGCTGTGGAGCATGACAGGCTACATTTGTATCTACGTCAGTACAGTTAAATTCCAATTATCCACCTGTTATTTGTATTTAATATTAAATGTGCATTCTGTTTATCCAAAGCTTTGGCTGTATCCTGAGAACCTGGATAACCAGAGTTTACCTGCACAGTACTCAGCTTTGGCAAAAGGGCACTAGCGATATAGTGGCTGCTCCTACATCCCTCTTTCTCACTCTACTCCATGCCATGCACCTGTGAAGGGCAAGGCAGCAGTTTGCGCTGAGTTTTTCATGGCTGTTTTGATAACTACTCTGTTCTGAACAGCAGTGAAATGTCCATCCACAGCTAGTGTTGCTGTTATTGCTTACATTTGTGGCAACTACTGTTCGTGTAGAAACTATTTCTTGTTGTTTGTTAAGAAGAAAGAAAAAATGAACATCCGTATACGTGCACCTTATTACTGCTGCAAACTATGATCAGAAGGGACTCTCTCCTCTCAGTTCTCATTTCTGAAGTGGGTCCACCAAAACGCCCTGGTGAAGGCCCTGATTCCACAAAGTATATAAAGCACCTGTTTAAGGTGAAACACATAATTATTGCCATCCCTATCCAGAAAAGCATTAAATACGTGCTTAATTGCTTTCCTGAATTGAGACCTAAATATTGAAATGTGAAGATTTTAGATTAAGCTTTCTTATAGTTGCAATCTCTGTTCTAACAAACACAAAAAGATAAATAGGCCCATTAAATGTGTTTTCTATCAGTCATTTGTTTTTGTGGATGAAGCCCTATGACTTTTTAAGGAGAAATCTTTGAAACAGGTCGTCATTTCTACAGGGGCTCTGTCTGTTCTGTATTGCCAGACTGGCTGCTCTGTACAGCAAGAGGGTGATCTTTTTTAAATCCTTTTGAATTTCTTGCAGTGACACTTATCAGGCTGAACTTGCTGGCTTTGGTGTGAATGTGATGTTTAACTTTATAGGACTTGATTAATATCCATGTATCCTAAAATGTGGTGGTGTCAAATTAAAAGAAGATTTCTGAATGCAGAGGATACAATTATAATAGGGATCAAGTCAGTGTTTTGATCAGTAACCTCAGTTACAGATCTCTTTAGCTACTGTGCTCTTCCATTAAAGGACACAAATAGTCATGAAATTACTCTCTCTATCTCTTTTGGAGACTATAATCTGTTTGAGACTTCAGCATGATTACCCATATCATTTGTGTTTTTTTGTAGCCCTTCCCCTCCCCTAACACTTTTGGTTCACAAGGTGGAAGTAATTGCTATAATTGCCCAGGAATTTCTTGGCAATTGCAGCTGATTTGCAGTGAGAGTTTGTCATGTGCTGACAGAATAATTTCTTGGTAATTTTTGAACCATGAAGCAATACGTTACCAGTTTTATTTACCATGATATATCTGTTAGCAAAAGTTTCCTTTGGGGGCTGATACCACAATGCAGATGAAAGTATGGGTTTGTCACAGTTCTTTGGTGAACTCATAATTGTACCTCCCTCCACCCACATCAAAATAACCTCCAAATAAACAAATGATGGGGAAGACATCAGTTAATGGACTGTATATATTTAAATGTCGACATATTTTAGAGTATTCAGCAGAAATGTCCAGTAGGAAGCACCTGGAATACTCATTAAAATATGAACAGCTACAGGAGGTTCAATTGATGTCTATGGTTTAGTTTTCCAGAGATGTTCTGCACATGTCTCCTGGAACTCCGAAGATCTCCTGCCATATTCTCCCTCAGAGTCCAGTCTTTTGACTTTCAGGACACACACATGTTCTGCCCGGCTTCTGAGGATGGGGCATGGATTATTAGTTCTGATAGGTTGAATGGCTGAGGGAAGGACTACAAAAACACAGCTTTCTGATAAATTCTCCTTAAGGGCTTGAATTCCTCTCACATGCACTACTCCTACCGCCATCCTTCTGGTGACAGGGAAACACCTGGGATTCTTTAAGGGACCCATGAATGGCATTAGTTGGTGACCGATATTAGAAACAATTTCCTCTACCTCTCCCACATCTGCCCAGAGACTGAGTATACAGCTTCTTCCAGCAGTTCCGGCCCAGAGGATGAGGACGCTACCTCATCCACTCCACCCATCTAGCTGATGGCTAAGCAAGCTGCTTCCTCATCCCAGCCTACTTGTCCAGAGTCTGTGAGCACAGCCCCCTCCCATTTAGAATCTGAGCAAACTCCCTGCTCCTTCTCTTCCCCCTTTCCCTTGCTGAAAGCTAGACACATTGCCTCCACAGTAATGAAACCCCCTCTGCTGGGTTAGCCTTATACAGGGAGAGAAAAGAAAAGTGATATACTGAACTGGCTGATATTTTACTTATAAATAGCTTCAAAGCCAATTGCATGCACACATCAAATTACTCACAAATGAGTAGTTAGGAGCCTAGCCATGTTCTTAGGTGTAGGAAACATCAACCTTCCAGGTATATTTTGAACAATATATATTTCAATGATCTAGATGCCAAAGAGGGAGAGGAATTATTTAAAGTTATAAGTAAGTAGGGATATGAGAATGAAATGAAAAAGGCAAAATGTAGGCTGAATCTGTGGGCACCTTCTTGCAGTGAAAACTTTTGGGCTGTGGAATAGTCTCTCGAGGGAAGTAGAGGAAGTTCATTGACTGAGATGTTTAAAACTAGACTGGACTAAACACAAGAAGGTACCACTGGCTACACAGCTCAATTGGGAGGGAGGTGGGATAAATCCCCCCCCACACACACACTCCCTGTCACATTAGTATCAGTGGTTTATTTACCCAATTTGCAATAACTGTGCATACAACTGTAGGTGGATGTGCAATTTTTTTGGGGGGGGGCATACAGATATCTGCTTCTCTTTAAAGAACTGTTCCTTAAACTTCTATCTCAAAAAATGAATTCACCTTTTTGAGTCATGTTTGAAAGAAACTTAGTAGAGCAATTCATTTGACCCAGACATTTGAATGAAGAGAAAAGTCTTCAGTCTTTCCTCTCTCCCGATATTTTTCTCCTTTGTTGTACTTCTCTGAGTAAACTTTTCCACAGTATCCTCTCCTCAGTAAGGTGAGAAACTCCATGCATTGAAAGAAGGTGTATTACACGCATAAGACATACCAATTTAGCTCATTGGAACCTGTTTTTTTTCTTGACAGCAAAAGAGCATGCATCATTTTAGTAGTTAAACACAGGTATTCATAAAATGTACATATGCCAAACAAAAGTTGGGTCTTTTCCAGTTTCTTTGTTTGGTTTTGTGGGGGCTGGGTTTTTTTGGGGTGTGTGTGTGGGGGGGGAGGATGGCTGCTTTGGATGGCTTCAACATTTTAGGACTTATTCTAAAATTGTGAAGCCATTGGACAAACAAAGAGCAATCAAAAACATCTAACCCTACAGTAGGAGTGGAGACACGGATCTCTTATCAGCTTATAAACTAGGATTTTGAAAGAAACCAACCGTGTCTATGCTTTCCGTCAGCAAAGAACCTTCTTTTCAGTCAGAGCTGGAATGTGATGCTTTGCATAGCTGCAGTTCATTTTCTGCTTGTTGTTTGCTGCAGGTACTCAGCGTGCTAATGCCAGAGCTCCAGCTCCTTATAAAAGAGATTTTGAAGCCAAACTGAGGAACTTCTACAGGAAGCTGGAGACTAAAGGATATGGACAAGGGCCAGGGAAATTAAAGTATGTAGAAGCATCTTATCAAATAGGGTTTATCTCACAGGCAGAACTTCTTTCCTTGCAGATGTAAGAACCTCTTTCCTCTGGGAATCCCACTGGTAACATGATGGATTCTTGCACTTATTGAATTAAATGTGAAGTGTGTTATAAGGCACTCAAAGCCATCTCACTCACAACAGAGAGCACATTTGAAGCACCTCTTCCCCACGTTACCTCCTGCTGTAGTGTCTTCATATGCACATTAATGCTACTGCAGTGACAGAAAGTCCTTTAAAGAGCAGCACTCAAAGAAACAGGGAGCAGTTGGGCCACTTTCATTACAGCAGTCACGGTGGGGCAAGTTGAAATAACTCTGTTTTCTTTTGTCTTGCCCAGCCACAAAAATAAATATACTGCCATATGATTCATCTTTGTGTAGATACAGAATTTGCATAATTAAATTTGATTAAATTCCAAAGAATTTGAAACTTGAACATAGTTTTTGGTAACGTTAAGCACTCCATATGTGGGAATGCCAAAATGAAGGCTTCATGCCACCCTAACTCTGCCTCCTTGTGAATTTTCATTAGTATAGAACAATTAATCACATGCTTACATACTTGTCATTGGGCAGCCCCTTCCGGGAGCAGCCTCTTGCAGCAGGCCACAGTATGACAGGGATGTCTGCTTCAGTTTCCCCTCTCAGCTGACCCAATAACTTCAGGATTTCTTGTCTCAATACTGTCCCTTCTTGGGGCTGGTTTATTACAACAATGTAAAACCAAATAATCCATAACAAAAGTTCCAGACATGGAGTCCATTTCTCACCCCAGTGCAAGCAGTTATTAAAATTCAAGACATTTCATCCCTCAATTTCCCCCATACCACACACTGGCGCCTTTGATGGTGTCAGGGCTCTCAGCTCTTTCCTGTCCTTGTACCAGGACAGCCACCCCTGCCCTTCCAACTCGAGTGCAACCCTGCTCTTCCCAGCGGGAACCCCCACAGCCTCTCTCCTGTGAACATCCTTGCCAGGGGAGCTTCTCTCACTCCCGCTGGCCCTCTCACAGCTCCACTGGGTCCAGCTCTCCAGCCCTGGGAATGTCAGTGGGTAAGCTCCTCCACAGCTCCCCTGCCTTCAGTCCTCTCCGGCCTTTGGTTCTGGCTGTCCGACTGAGAGAAAGTAGGCAATTCCTGCTGCTGCTCCTGCTCCTCCTGTCTTCAACCCTCTCCAGCCCTGGCTCTCTGGCTTGGGGACACCAGCCAGCAAGCCCCTCTCAGCCGTCTCCTGGGAACCACCCTCTGCTTCCTTCTGGGACTCCTCTAGATCCTGGGTCTCTGGTAGCTCTCATCTTCCTGTCCTGACTGAACCAGTTTACTCTAACTCACTGGGATTTCCCCTCACTGGGTCTTTCCCTAATCCTTTATAGCCCCCAGCTGCTGCCCTGCCCTCTTAATTGAGCACCTGCTTTGGCATATGGGAGATTGGACCTTCATCATGTACTGGGTCCAGCCACCGTGTGCTAGAACTATTATGTTAAGAGATAATCATCACATGATACTCGCCTGATTTTACAAAAAATTCTGTGCCATGCACCAACTGTGATCCTCAAACTCCCATAAGTTAGCCAAATAAAACCTACTTTTAGTGGAAAAGATAAATTTTCTCCCAAAGAACCATCTGCTCTGCCGCCTGATTCTAGTTTTCTAGCTCCAACCACTGTGGCACTAGAGCTATTTTTTAAAAAAATTCGCTGCATTTAGAAAGGGCAAGGTGTGTTTTTCTTTGCCACTTAACCATTTTTGCTCAAAAAAAGAACTAGATAAATTCATGGAGGATAGGTCCATCAATGGCTACTAGGCAGGATGGACAGGGATAGCGTCCCTAGCCTCTGTTTGCCAGAAGCTGGGAATGAACGACAGGAAATGGATCACTTGATGATTGCCTGTTCTGTTCATTCCTTCTGAGCACCTGGCATTGGCCACTGTCGGTAGACAGGATACTGGGCTAGTTGGACCTTTGGTCTGACCCAGTATGGCCCTTCTTATGTTCTTATGTAAATTTTCCAAACATATTCACCTTTGGGCAGAGTCCAGACTCGGATAATTTCTGATGAACATTTCTTAAAATTATCAACAGCTGAAAAAGGATTTGAATGGAAATGCTTACCTATAATGTAATGGGTTAAAAAATAAAAAATAAGCTGTAAAAAAGCACTGCAGTGACCAGTTTGGCAAATAGCCGGTGCAAGAGGGTAGCCATTGCTAGCTATAAGGTCTATGATATATACATGCTCCTGTTACCTTGTTTTTCTGGGTTTGTGAACTACAGGTATATTTCTGGTAGGATTTACCATCATACCATGAGGTTTTAAGCAAGAGAAACAAAACAATAGTTTATTTTGATACAAATAGGCAACTTTTTAATTAAATGTTGTTTCTAAGGTGTTTGAACTTTTATAGATAATATACTACTATAGCCATTTTGATATGACAGGCAGGAATAATTAGTGACACAATTTAACATGGTTATATTTCCTCCTGTTCTCCCCCCTCTTCTCCCTAAGGGAATCCAATGCTTCATAAACATATTTTGGCCATGGACATAAATGTTCAGTTCTGTGTAGGATTACTTTGGTCATTATTCCAGACCCTTGATTTTTTTTCTTCTACAAATTTTCCAGTAACTATAGGGCATTGCATTTTTTTTTCATTTAGTACCAAATTCTGCTCTGAGGACCGTTTGCCACTCCAATTGGCATTGCTTGCTGTCCAGCTGTACCTGTTCTGTGCATAAATACAGGATATTAAACTCCAGGGCTGTCAATCCAGCCCCTTTCACCAAATTTTACCTTTTGCCTTGCACTATATTGCTTTAGTTGAAGAGCCAGATTCTCATTTACCTTAAGGCCCCTTTACACAGCCCTGGCACGGTAAACAGCCTTTAGAGTGGATTTAAATGCCCACTTCAAAACCCCTTCATGTGGCCAGAATGGTGCAAAGCAGACTTTGTGTAAATGAGAACTGGACTTGAAAAATGTAAAATACTACTTCTTTATGTGGGAGACGTATTGAATTCTAAAGTATATCCAAGAATCACATAGGTTAACAGATATTATCTTCTAAATCTGGATCAAATGGTTGTATAAAGAGGAGATTAAATATTGTTTGTATCCATTATCCTGCACAGTTACCATCCAGTGTAACTATGTGTTTTCATCTGCAGTTCACCTTTGTGAATTACTGTGTTTAAAATTATCTTGCTGTGCAGATTAATCATCAGGAGAGACCACTTGCTGGAAGATGCCTTCAATCAGATTATGGGTTACTCAAGAAAAGACCTGCAGAGAAATAAACTCTATGTCACGTTTGTTGGAGAAGAAGGGTGAGTAGAACAGGGAAGTGGGCATGAACACATTAATCAACTATGTTTGCAGCTGTGCTTGGCTATTTCACCATACTGCTGTGGTCTAGAATGGAAAGAGGAAGGATTGTCATCAGGAAATGCCACATACATAAGCCTAGAACCTACAGCTGTTCACACTTCACAAAACCAAATAATTCATTTTGACGCTCTTGGTCATGCATCTTGCTTTAATATTAAAAAAAAAAAAAAAAGCATTTATCTCTGTGTACATGGCATTTCTGCTGTAACCTCAGTGTGTCACTAAGGAAGCAAACAAACCCAAACATAGTTGTCATTTTGTTTCTATTTCTTTCATCTCTACCAGTGTTTTCCTCATGCATGCTACAAGGTAGGAGGTATTTTGATTGGTGGGAGTTAAATACAGGGTGGACTAAAGGACCAGTCCTTCCAGTTGCTGTGTACCCTCAACTCCCATTGAAATCAATGCGAATTAAGAACCCTGGACACCTTTCAGAGTGAGGTCCTTTGTCACAAATAAAACTTTCAGACGCAACTAGTCTGTTGCTATTTGTTAAATAAACAAGTGTTTCTAATATTCCACAACCATGCAGCAAATGCTTAGCCTGCAGCTGACTGAATGCTGATGTGTTGTAGCATTTACGTGGTTTGCATTATGAGGCCAGGTTAGGAATTTGGTCAGAGCTCCTTTATCCAAATGAAACTTTGAACAATGTATTGCTTTTTCCTCCCCGCTCCCCCCCATCAGTTCTTAAAGCCTTTTATAATGTATTATTTCATTAGACACAAAGAGACAAATCTTACTTCATCCTTGACCACTGCACAGGGATTCCTGGCAGTGTAATTCAACATAGTTCAACTGCGGAGGGGAATGCATATCCAGTGCCCAGCACCAAGCCCTGCACTGCAGTGGCTCCTGGCATGACAGTACTCAGAAGATGGGGGGGAGGGTAGCAGTGCGACAGAAGGTAGGTTGTGGGAGAGCATATCCAGAGGATTTGCGACTTTGCGGATCCTCTGTTTATCCTTCATGTTGTGGTAGTGATGTGTAAGGAGCATAGAGAGCTGCTTCAGCCAATAAACTGAAGTAGGTTTCACAGCCACATCACCACCTGACCTCTGCCTTGCCGAGCTGTTAGGCCAGGTGCTGGCATGAGGATTTGCCCCAAAGGTCTGATTTTCAAATGGCAAAACATGCAGATTAATTTGAATTTTCAGACCTGATTTGCACACACAATTATTGGAAACATGCTTGAAAATGACTAGTTGTTCATGTCTGACCTTTTATGAACATGATTAAAACTGTAATGATTGTAAACATATACTGAATTTCATTCACTTGTATTTCAGAGATTTTGCACTGTCTTTAAGGGAGCTGTTGCAAAATAGGTCTTGAACCAGTCCTTATAACTATTGGTTGTTAGTACCATGCAGTTTGGCATTACGTTTCTAGAATGCTTTTCACACCTCTGGTGTAGTAAAAGCAGCTTGTACAAGATTAGATAAATACTCCTTTTAAAGGTTCTAAACGCTGTAGTGTGTTTAAAGTTTATCCTCAACGGCCAAGTTTTAATATGACCTAGTTAAAGTTTTCAAGTAAAATGTGGTGGTCTCACCCTAGCTGCAAGTGTGGGCTTGTTCACATACATAATATCACTGTACTGTCTGGCACCATTCAGATTGATAGGTACTCTTGATCGAAGAAAAACCCAGAACTGGAATGGCAGGATTAAGGTGTTTTGATTGAGCTTATATCAGCCTTTGTTTTTACTACTAGCAGCTTCACCCAAATTTAAAACATATGTAAAATGATTGCAAATCATACATGAGAGAGTGGAAGAAGGGGAGGGGAAGAGCTGAAAAAATACAATAAGAAAATAAAACTAAATTCAGTAGATTGTCTTCTTCCAGATCAGATCATGTCAGGTTTTTACTTTTCTAAACACAGAATGACAAGATGAAGAGTGGTCTGGATGAGGAAAGCACATTACACACACCATTCCTTTTTCCCCTGATGGCCACCTCTGTACAAGATGCCTTTCTTTGAGGAAAAGAATGAGTTATTTTATGAGTAACATCAAATCAAAATGACAATAAGTATCTTGCTAGCAAAATGACTAATCTCAGCTTTATACAATCATTTGATCCAGTTTTGAATGGTGAGAGGATGTGTGCAAACAACTCTCTCAGCATAGATGGTGCAAGGATGTGAGCCATGCAGAACTGCTCATTTAGTTAGATGTAGGAGGATGCATCTTTGGGGGAAGGGAAAGAAATAGTAGGAGAAATTTTGAAAGAGGCATGTTCTACCCCCCCACACCACACTCCTTTTTTTATAATTTTTTTTTAATGCAGGCTAAATTATTGTTTGATAATTGGGCAGGGACTTGGTTTTATGTTTCTGTTCCTCATCCATTTGTAATGCTGTAAGTATAAGTCATAAAGAAATAGGTAATGAAATCCCCACTGAATGTATATGAGAACATTTTGATTAACTCTCATTTCCATTAGCACATGGGGTAATTTAAACCCCACTGTTGCCATTCAGACAATTTTATCATGAGTCTCACAATATTTTGTGGTTTTTCTTATAAAGCCCCAGTTCCTGGAATCATGAGATAATATGAGAATCTCCACTTTACTATTTTTTTTTTAAAAAGTAAGTTCTAGTCCTCATGGTTTCAGAAAAGAATCAAAATCTCAAAGCAAATAAAATCAACCCCAAATGTATTAGTTTTTCTACATTTCATGATTTTTCCAGCCAAACATTTGGCTTTTGGGGCCAGATACTTTTTTTTTTTTTTTTTAATATTTGGCATCGGTAAAAAGGAATAGTTTTAGGGCCTGGATTTGCTGTGAATAGCAAAATCAACAGTATCATCAGTCTACCTTAGATGTCTTTAAATATGACTGATTATTACTCTGTCATTTTTATTTAATGGTTGATTATATGTATGTGAAAGCCCATGTTTTGGGCCTTCTCAGATGACAAAAGAATTAATGTACTGATGTTTTTGATGCCTTGAATCCTGTAGTGATATCCTCACACCTTGCTCCAGCCCCTGTAAGTCAGGTAAAATGGCTGGAGTGGTATAAGCGAGCCATAAAAGTCCCAGTGGCAGCGGGGGATGGATTCCCTTAGTGCAGGCACTGTGGAGGCTGACTCCCAAGATCCTCTTGCAAGTCCTGGTGCAGGGGGTGTGCCTGAGCCAGGCCGCAGCATAAATCACTGTGAAGGCTCTGGGAAGCACTGTGGTCCATAGATTGGCCCAGGGAGGCTGCCGTAATTCAGAAGGGCCTTCTGGACTGTCTAAATTAGTCTCTCGACAGCCCAGGACTAGGAGGGTGCACAGATGGCTTAAAGTTAACAACATTCCCAGCTCCTGTTAGAAGCACAGCTCAGAATCTCACCCATGATTTAAGTCCAAAGAGCTGTTTAGTCTAAAGAGATCATATAAAGTAAAATAATTTGTCATGTTTTCTTACTCTATGCTGTTCTTTGCATTTATACTGTGAATGCTTATTTACCACTGATGAAGGTGACTTTGAAAAATAACAAGCATCTAACTGTATCAAAAGGTCCTGCTGCTACAGTCTGTTCTGAATGTCAAACAGCTGCCTTGCATGAGAGGGTGGTAGTTTAAAATGCCTAACACTCCTCCCCAAGAGAATTGAAACATGCTGCCAACCACAGTACTTCTGCATTTGAATACCCAAATGCCTCCGGTTGCAGCTGTTGTGTGGCTGAGTGCCTATTGTATGGAGTTTTTTCATTCTTGTGCCAAGTCTTTAGTTGTGGGACAAACGTGACTGACAGAACAGGAATGTAATGAATGATCCATCTGATGTGAGTCACATTAACTTTATGTATGAAAGCAGCTGGATGGAATAGCTGGAATTAGATAAAACACAAAAGTTATATTTTATCCTGGGATTTCATGGCTACTATGGCTGCCATGAGATTATATCAGAAGTTTAGAGGCCCAACTCCTAGAGCTGACCATATTCTTGATTGGGTGTTTGGGCTGGCATTAGAGACCGAGCAATTGGAAATTTGCCCATCACATGGAACTATCCTATCCTTCTGCAATTTGAGGGTGGACACACCTCTCCCATCCAGGTGAGAGACCAGCTTTGATACTCCACTCTAAGATGTTAATGGAACCTAAATGCTTCCAAATGACTGAGGGAGAATATTTTTCCTTCAGAAAGAGCATTCATAGCTTCATCCGCAACTTGACAGTGATCCCTAGACCTTCTCTTCCCAACTTCATCCCCACAGGTCACACGCTGGGCTTATAGATGGCAGGCAACAACTGAAGTTGTAAAGATGACTGGCAGAGTGCTAATGGCAGAAGTCTTTTACTGAAGATTTGTGCAATAGATTTTTTGCATTCTTGTGACATGGATGTGTAGGAGGCAAAGGAGAGTCTCTGCCACCATAGCATCGGCATCCTCTTGATTAGTGTTTTTTTTGTGGGTACTGAACAACGCAGATAGTCTGAGCTGTCATTGCTCGCTAACTGTATTGTGTTCCTCCCATTGTGAGGAAAAATTACATTACTTGATGGACAAAATTGCCAAGGTTCATACTGAACCGGTGGCATCTGTGAGGCTGGGGTTGTACGTTGACGGGGGCTAAGGCTTCTGTGCTTGGGTTTCAGTCAGTGTCACTCACTAAGGTAATGGAGGGAACTTTATGCCACAAATATCCTGGGACCCACACAGCTACAATAACACCGCAAACAACTCTTAGTGTTGTCCTTCTTGTTTGGTGAAGGCCAGTGGGGAAGAGCTGGGCCAATTGCTGGTGGAGATTGCGAGTTTCAATTAGGGAGGGTGGGTTGCTTGCCTACCTTAAGAAAGCATTTGTACATCCATTGCTCAAGAAACCGTCATTGCTAACTATTGTTCTTTATCTCATCTTCCATTTCTGGGTAAGATTACTGAAAAGGCTATGGCAAGAAAACTCTCATGGTATCTAGATCCCTCAGATTTCCTTGACAATCTGGTTGCAGGCTTGGGCATGGCATGGAGACTGCTTTAATGGATGAAATCTCCTAGTGATGGATTGGGTGCCCAGGTTTATATTAGGTCTGTCAGCTGTCTTTGGTAACTCTTGGTGGTTAAATAGTGTAGACATTCATGGAACTCTAGCAGAAACACTAAGGAATAGCTGTCCATGACTTTCTGTCAAATCCCAGAGTGTTGTTTTGCACCATTAGTGCGTGAGAGGGAGCTCTCCTGTGGAATACTAAAGGGGTCTATCTGGCCACACCTCTTACTTAATGAGTATCTGAGGCTATTGGGAGGGTTAGTTTAATAAATAAAAGACCTTGGTTACATTGTCTTCAGCATGCTCGTGACACCCAGCTCTGTATCTTTGTAGGTATTTACATGGCCCTCAACATCATAGTATCTTTGGTGAAGTAAAACTTTGAAGAATTTATCTTCATAAACCCTTCTGTGAGGTGAAAAGTATTCATTTCCATATTTTACAAATGGGGAACCAGGGCTAAATGTCTTGCCCACATCACATAGGAAATCTATGTCACAGCCAGGAACTGAACCTCGATCACCTAAGTGTCAGTACAAGGACATCTTTTTTTCCTCAGCTGAAGCAAATGGGTGTTTTGCCCTTTGTCTGGTGGAGATTGGGGCATGGATAAGAGCTACTTGACTGAGGCTCAATGCAGAAAATACTGAGAGGATATTAATAGGTGGGAGAAAGCAAACCTGATATGGTGGAGGATGTGAAACTGATGTTTAACCACCAGGTATCAGCCAGCAGTTAAGGTGGTTGTGACCTTTTCTTTCTTACATGGACCTCTCAATATCATCATCTTTGCCTTTGTCATCTTGAGTTTAGACTACTGCAGTGCAATGTGCACCCTGCAAAGTGGGGTCACACCTTAAATCCATTCCGAAACCGAGCCGGCACAGAACATGGGAGCCTGCTCATTATGCAGGGTTTTGCACTGTGAACATATTATACTAGTGCTCAGGGATGTGGACAAATTGTAGAGAGTTCAGCGGAGGGCAACAAAAATGATCAGGTGGCAGGGGCACATGACTTATGAGGAGAGGCTGAGGGAACTGGAATTGGGCTTGTTTAGTCTGCAGAAGAGAAGAGTGAGGGGGGATTTGATAGCAGCCTTCAACTACCTGAAAGGGGGTTCCAAAGAGGAGGGAGCTCAGCTGTTCTCGGTGGGGGCAGATGACAGAACAAGGAGCAATTGTCTCAAGTTGCAGTGGAGGTCTATGTTGGATATTAGGAAACACTATTTCACTAGGAGGGTGGTGAAGCACTAGAATGGGTTACCTAGGGAGGTGGTGGAATCTCCATTCTTAGAGGTTTTTAAGGCCCGGCTTGACAAAGCCCTGACTGGGATGATTTAGTTGGTGTTGGTCCTGCTTTGAGCAGGGGGGTTGGACTAGATGGCCTCCTGAGGTCTCTTCCAACCATAATCTTCTATGATTTGCCTGAGTTGCTCTTTGGTTTTCCAGGTGAGATAGTAAGATGTTAATTTTGACATACAAGTCCCTGAATGGCCAGTCTAGAAAACTGCCCGTTTCAGAGACTTTTTCTCTCCTTTTGCCATACATTTACAGTGAGCAGTGACACTCCTTCAGTTTGAATGAAAAGGAGCTGCTGGCAGGGCATTCTCAGGGACCTCTCATCTTTGGAATCCAGGCCGCACCTTGGTCTAAAATATAACAAATTGTTTGAGCTTCTGAGCACATTAAAAACTGATCTGTTTGCTCAGGCTTTTGCACAAGGGAATAGAATGGCCAGCATTTTTGGAAAAGGGTGGAATATTATATATTTTAATATAAACTTTTTAAATTAAACTAGCATCCCCATATTTTTTGTATGTGGCTGAGCAGAATTATTCTGCTAAATTTTAATTTGTTATTGTATATTTGAAAAAGGACATAGATGCCCAAAGGCAAGGATATGTACATTTTTATATTTTAGATATTAAATCAAAATAAGAGGAAAAACCCCACACATATACGGTGCAAAGCACGTCTCATTCTATAGATTAGATGATGTATATTCTATACATTAGATGTATATTAACTGTGCATTGGATAATTATCATAAGACGTACAGGTTGTCCTTTCAAGTTTAGTCTCTTGCCTTTCTATGTGTACATTATCCTGGCTCTAAGACTAAAGAAGGTCAGTGTCTGAAATCCTTAGGCTATAGAGGTGCTTTATTTGTCTCCTTTAGGGCTATAATAATGTCTCTTCCCAGTGGGAAACTCCCCAGTTTTCCATTCTGCACTGCTACAGAGGTATTGGTCTTAGGGCTTATCTACACTTACATTTTATAGCGCTCTAACTTATTGGCTCAGGGGGTGTGAAAAATCACCCCCATGAGCGCAGCAAGTCTGAGCACTTTAAAGCGCTAGTGTAGACAGGCTCCCAGCTCTGGGAGCCAATCCCCTCGTGGAAGTGGATTACCAGAAGCGCTGGGAAAGCTCTCTTCCAGCACTCACTCGCGACCACACTCGCACTTCAAAGCACTGCTGCGGGACCGTTCCCGCAGCAGCGCTTTGAAGTTTCCAGTGTAGACATACCCTTACACTTCAATTGTGACCCTGGGAGGAGTGGCAAGACAGTAATTTGTCTCAATACTATTTCAGCAATGAGGCTGTCTGTCTTCCCAATTTGAGTGCAATTACATGTCACCTGGAGAATGCATTTCCTTCAGGTTCTACTAATTCAAGATTATAGTTTCTAATAAATAAAGAATCTAAATAACTCCCAGGTTTTTTAATAAAAAAAAAAACTACTTTGATAGGGTGAAGGTCCTGAAAGGGGAGAGAGAGAGAGACTCCAAGAAAGATGAAGCATTAAAGTAATTTGAGATTTTCTTTCTAAAGGAAAATATAACTCTTTGAATTGCTATATTGCTTCCCATCTGCAAGGATATAATATGATTGTTTTTTCCATTTCTGTCCTTGATTTGTCAGATGCATATATGTGTAGGTTTAATGATGGCTCTTTTGTTGTGTGCTGTATCTAGGAAGGGATTTCTGCTTTCCCTTTAGCTTCTCCAGAATGACTTGATTTGATACCATTGATCAAGTTATTCTCAAGAGACCAATATAGACTAAGCAAGGGTCTTCCGTGAAGGCTGTGTGTCACTTAGGCCCCAATCCTGCAAGCTACTCCACCTCAGTTAGGCTGCATGCGGGCATAGGAGTCCACCCACATGATCGAGGATTTAAACACCACAGTGATAGGCACCTTAGAAAAACCTTATACAGTGGTTAAAAGAACGTAGATTTATAGAGAATAAGTCTGTAGTGAAGCAAGACTCACTGGCGCGGCGCCTCCTGCTGGTTATCCTGGGAATTAGCTCTTGTCCAGCCCGGAGCACCCTCTGCAGGCTGGTCTCCCTCCCAGACCCCAGGGCCTCTTTTCCTCTGGGTTCTGCCCCCAGCAGTAACCCACATTCTGGGTCTCCCCTCCCAGGGGAACCCCCAACCCTCTATCCTCACCTTGCCTCAGTGGCTACTGCTAATCATCATCTAGCCCTGCTCACTGGGGCAGACTGCAGTCTGTAAAAGGCCACTCATCATTGGCAAGGGGGGTCAGACCAGCTGTCTCTGCCTAACCCCGGGCTGCAGCCTCTGCAACCCCAGTACCTGTTTTGGTCTTTTAGCAAGGCCTGTAGCCTGGGGATTTACCAGGCTGGAGCTCCCCAGCTCTCCTTGCCTTTCCCCAGCCCTGCTCCATTCCCTGTACCCTGAGCTCCCAAGCAGCCAGGTCCTTTTCTCTCCAGAGCAAGAGAGAGACTGACTCATTTTCTGTCTCACAGCCCTTTTATAGGGCCAGCTGTGGCCTGACTGGGGCGTGGCCCCAGCTGTGGCTGCTTCCCCAATCAGCCTACCCTTTTTTTCAGAAGGGGCAACTGCCCTGCTACAAAGTCCATCAATGGCTATTAGCCAAGATAGTCAGGGATACAACTCCATGCTCTGAGCCTCCGTTCTGTTAATTCCCTCTGAAGTATTTGGCATTTGCCACTGTCAGAAGACAGGATAGTGAGCTAGATGAGTTGACCCAATGTGACCATTCTTATGTTCTTATGACAAGCCTTGTTGTATCAAATAAACCTTCTGTAATAAATTAACTTGATTTTTTTTTTAAAGGTTGGATTATAGTGGACCTTCAAGAGAGTTTTTTTTCCTGGTGTCCAGAGAGCTCTTCAATCCATATTATGGTTTATTTGAATATTCAGCCAATGATACCTACACAGTACAAATAAGTCCCATGTCTGCTTTTGTAGACAATCACCATGAGTGGTAAGAATTAATTTCTAATCTTATTTTTTCTATTGTTTCCACTTGTGGAGAACCAGCTCATATTTGTTCAAATGCAGAGTTTTCGATCTTTTTAACCAGCAGTAAAATAATTGCATTTCTTTAGACTTTCCTCTTTTTTTTTTTTTTTTTCTTTCCTTGTTGGTTGTAACAGATATTCTTGTTTCTCACAAAGTCAGCAAAGATGAGATTTGGAACATATGTATTGTGGTTTTGGCTCACTACATGAAACTCCACACTTTGTACAAGAGCAAACATTTGCTTCACCAAAGCACTGTCAGTCTTTTGTGCATGAAAAGCAGATTATATTAAACATTGGCTTGTGGTCAACTCAGTGTACGAGAGATTTCAATCAGCTTTTATTGCATGTTGTTTGTTTGGGATTTCTCAATGAATATAGATTGTTCCCAGTAAGGCAGTCCACATCTGGTGGAGGAAAATCTATTGAGATAGCTCTTCTTGTGTTTTGCTATTTAATCAAGGTCCATATACCTGATAGTAGCCTTTAAAATCTGTGAAAAGGATGTACTATGAGAAATCTGAAAAACAACAGAGGAAAAAACCTGAAATGATGTTCAATATATATATCTATAAAATGTATCTTTTTTTATATATACACGTAATCTCAATTTCATGATTAAGGGCCAAATTCTAAGATGGTATAAATCAGTGCGTCTCGAGCGAAGTCAGTGGATCCATGCCATTTACGCTAGCTGAGAATCTGGGTTTAAATTACAGTAATGGGGTGACAGCTGCAAGTCTGTGTAGGACAGAAGCAAATTAGGGTCTCAAATGATGGAGAATCATTGCAATGAAGTATAGTTGAGAGTTACGCCATTTGCTGGCTGCCCTGCACATCAGCTGAAGCAATGCACCTGTTGGACTCTGATACAAGATTGGATACAGAAGTTCAGCAACAACAAACTGTATATGCTGCATCTGAAAAAGCATGACAGTCTGGCAGAACAAGCTGCAGGGCTGTGCATGGCCCTCTTCTCCCTATCCCCAGCTATGTGGACCTAGAGAGCCGGCCAGTGAGTGAGTGGGGCACGACCCATTTGTTTCTGGAGAGACTAGTGCCAGTGTCAGCATCAGGGAGAGTTCAAGGAAAGCAGCTGTGCACAGAGGGAGGAAGCTTTGTGTGTCTCTTTCCCATCTTGCACACCCTGCGTAGGGCCAGGCATAACAAAGCCTTAATTTTCCCAAGTAAAGTAGTTCTGAGTTATATGTCTTACCAGGAAGTGTAGAAACTTGATTTTCTTTCAGAGAGAGCATTAGGCTTGAATCTGCTTTCAGATATATGGAGGGCATGCCTAGTTTCTTTAATGATTTTTTTCACAATGTTCTGCAACATGCACCATTATTTCTGACAGCAGAATTGTGCCCTTAGAGTCTAACAGAGTCTATGTGAAGGCCCTAGTGTTGCAAACAAAGTTGCCACGTTCCTAATTTCTAATCTTCCAGCAGCAATGAGTGCACAAGGGGGTTTAAATCATGTTGGTGCTTTTGGGGGGAAATGGAATGGTAAGGGTGATAATTTCCAGCCACCCCCCCAAAAAAAGGTTACATGGAGCCCAATATCCACCAGTCATGAAAAAGAGCATGGAGCCACCCACTAGCTAGAAAAGGATGCCTAGAATCATCTGTCAGAGTCAATCTCTCAGTGCTCAGAAAGGGAGAGTGAGGAGACGGAGGGGCAGAAAACAGCTGTCATGTTGGAAGCAAGGGTTTGAAAAAAGAACCTAGTTTGGTAGGGTTAGAATGAGTTCAGTTTAGCTTTCAGTAGCTGAAAAGTGGCAACTTCAGCTTTGAAACCCCAGGTACTTTCCATGCCTTGCAGATCTGTTTTTTCACTACATTCTACTAAGAACTAAAAAGAATCCAAGCTACCACAATACAGTTATAGTTATCTGATTTAAATATACTGTTAAACTTGGTACACAGATAAACGATAGGGCAGCACACAAACACAAAGTCTGAGTGTACTGGTTAATCTCATTTCCTTTGTCTTTCAGGTTCAGGTTCAGTGGTCGAATCCTTGGTCTTGCTCTGATACATCAGTATTTGTTAGATGCCTTCTTTACACGGCCCTTTTATAAAGCCCTCCTCAGAATGTGAGTAGAAATGTTCTGATTTTTCTTTTTCTCATGGAAAATGCAGTTTTTGACCAGCAATAAATGTCAGGTTCTTGACTCCAAGAAGATAGGTCAATATAATTTGGTCATTTAGTTTTAATCCAAGATTTACTTTAAAGTATAGTTACCTAAATTAAGGCCCATTTATGGTACTAGCCAGTTACTTGATGACTTTGAAGATGTTGCTGATCAATATCAAAACCTTGTGATTCCTGTCAACCAATTACATCACCAGTTCCTTCTATAAAATCGTACTCTTCAAATCCTGCAGTGAAACATCAGATATTAATAGAGTACTTGTTCATTTGTCTTTAATGACTCATAGGACAGGATCTGAATCAAACCTTATTTAGACTTTAAGATCAGTGTTTTCAAAAGCAGTCTCTGATTTTTGGCTGCCTCCATTTTGAGGTGCCTAACTGGGTCTGATTTTCAGAAGTACTGCATCTCCAGGGCTCAGCTGAAGACAATAAGAACTGCAGTTGCTCAATACCTCTGAAAATCAGATCTAATGTGTGTCAAGTTTAGGGCCCAAAAAAGGAAGCCCCAAATCAGAAGCCACATCTGAGAATTTCCGAAGATGATTTACATTTATCTGTAAAGCACCGTTCACATTTATGGTGCTGTGCAAATAATACAAGTTTATTTTTACAGCAACCAAAACTGTAGTAGGTGCTTTACAGAATTTTTTTTTAAAAGGCCTCGTCCCACTCCCAAGGAGCTGACAGTCCTAGGCTAGAGGTGATGTGACAGAGGAGCTGGTGGGGGAGACTAATAAAACTGTATGGGGGGGGGGGAGGTTGAAAGACAAGGACTCCAGCAATAATATCATGTGGTTACTTCGTTTAGTTATCTATTGGTCATGGTGGCTTGTTAGCAGTATTTTAAAGAGCTGTGGGCCAGATTCTGCCACCTTCACAAACAGAGGGCCTGGTTCATGATCCCCTTATGGCCTGGCCAGCAGAAAGACACTACAAAGCAGCTTTATGGATACCCCTGCTCATGCACTCCCTCCTGGGTCTGCAGCTCCACAGGTAAGGTGTCTGAACCAGCTCTGCACACGTCTTTGCAGGAGGCACTGGTGCATGGGGCATTCCTGGCTCAGCAAGGGGAATGTTGTCCCAGCCATTCTGCACAGCTGCTAAGGGCCATTGCTGCAGAATGCAAGTTAAGGTAACCCTTAGCCCAAGACCACTCCCGGTGGTCTCTAGCTAGAGAAGATGCAAGCCATCTTCCCTATGTGCCTGAACCAGCCCTAGAGTGGGCACAAGAATAAATTCCCCTGGTGGAGTAGCAGCTTATTCTCTGAGTGATCCTAAATGTAAGGCTGTTCACAGATTAAGATTCTGCTTCAAGTGAATAAGGCTGACAGAATCTGATCCCGTAATAATAATTATGATTGTTGACTGACTTCTTGTGGGGATCATGGAAGACGCAATTGGTAAGGAGGTGCTTGAATGAGGAGAGGGCAGTTGGCTCACAAACCAAATTTGGAAGGGCGCACCATGTTTAAGGGCTTTATGGCAAAATCACCCAGGCTGGCATCACTGGCAAAGTGGAGAGAGCAGGAGGTGACAAATTAAGAGCATCCTCCTTATTGCAGAGCTTAGTTAGTACTAATAAAAAGGTCCTATTTCTTTTATGAGATGAATTATATGTCACATATTGATCTTTACTATTAATAGCATTTTTTGTAATCCATAGTCAAAATAAGTCATTGAAATATGGTGCAAGTGGCCAGAATTTGAAATAAAGTGAAATTTACAAGCAAAAGGTCTTTAAAATGGAAATTTAGGGTTTTGTAGTTTAACAACAAAGAGATGAGAGTTATGCAAATAGTTGCTATTACCATTGCTAGGCAAATACAGAGATTCAGAATAGTTTCTACTAACTTGACTTAAGAACGTCAGCACAAAGGAATCCAGTAACCATTGTTCTTTGTTCTGTTGATTTCTCTGAGCTCCCTTTATTCTGTTTGTTTTGTAGGGCTGTCCTGTCTCAGCTCTGTTAATGAGCATGCACTACTGCTGTCAGCTATATTTGTATATTTTCTTCTTGTTTATGTTAGACTCTGTGACCTGAGTGACTTGGAATACCTTGATGAGGAGTTCCACCAGAGTTTGCAGTGGATGAAAGACAACGATATACATGATATCCTAGATCTCACATTCACTGTAAATGAAGAAGTTTTTGGGCAGGTGTGCAAGATTGCTACTTTCCTTTCCTTTCCTCTTTATATTCTGTTGTTAGGTAACTGTTTCTTTGGACTGAAAAATGATGTCATTCCCAGCTGATTTGAGTTCATTAATAAAAATCTTGGTTGATATGAACAATTGAAAAACCTATAGAGAGATTATCATTCGTTACCTACCAATGCAATACCTAAAGAATGCAGAAGCTGGTTTGTATCTCTTATTTTGAAGTTGCTTCTTCTTACTTTGTACTTGACATGATCTGGTGAAAATGGGGATTTCAATTTCATGTCATCTGTCTGAGTTTATGTACTCCAGTCTGTTAAACCAATCTGTGCTTGGCCTATGATATTGGGGAATTAGCGCTACATATTTAATTAAAAGCTTGAGTTTATAATATATTTTTGTTGTCCTTTTATATTATTTTGGTGGTGGTTTTCCTCTAAGATCACTGAACGGGAATTGAAACCAGGGGGTGCCAACATCCCAGTCACAGAGAAGAACAAAAAAGAATACATAGAGAGAATGGTGAAATGGAGAATTGAGAGAGGGGTTGTGCAGCAAACAGAAAGTCTAGTTCGAGGTTTCTATGAGGTAAGAAATCCTACTCAACTCTAGTTCCCATGTGTATATTATCTACCTTTCTCTATACTTGCATTTCTAATACACCCAATCACACAGTATTTAGAAAACATAGGAGTGAGAGTCATATGTATCCTACAGTAGACCTAAGGTATTTCATAATAATCAAATGTTGTCTTATATATGTGGAGGTCGCTTGTTGGAGGTCATTGAGTCAAATAACATGACTACATTCTAAAGAAATGGAAAACATTATTACCACTATTTGCCTTAGCAGCAGTGCAAACTCAGATAATAAGGAGAGTTGAACTCAGGAAGGAATTTTTTACTCCATGTCCAGCATTACACAATTGGCTGAGTATATTTCAAGATGTTTTCCTTTACATTTTCCACCTTGAACATGAACCTTGAATATATTGATCCTTATTGCCCTGGAAGTATTTCTGTATTATTTTTCTAAATCATTTTCCTTCTAAATACTATGAGCTTCTAATGAAACTGAATGTAGTTACAATATGAAACCCAGTGGAAGAATAGTCCACATATTTGCATCTTTTGAAAAAAGTTTTAACCTTAAGCCTCCCCATTCATTGAACAAGCCAGAACATTACTTGAAAAATGATACAGCATTAGTAACTGGGGAGTCTGTTTAGTAGGAGGCAAAAATAACAGAAACAATGAGGACACGTTTCTATGTATTTTATTTCCTTTCACAGGTTGTTGACGCTAGGCTGGTGTCTGTATTTGATGCAAGAGAATTGGAACTGGTTATTGCTGGCACGGCAGAAATTGACTTAAGTGACTGGAGAAACAACACAGAGTATAGAGGAGGTGACATTGATTTTTTTTTTTTTTTCCTAGTCAAAGTTAGCTCTGGTACCGCATGAATGAACCTCGAAGTGCCCTTTGTCTAAGATTTTGCTAAACCTATTCTATGAAATATGTCAATTTAATAAGTGTTGGAGCCCATTTTAAACTAATTTTGGAATGTCTTAATTTTCCTAGTTAGCTTTTGAATTAGGAGCAGTCATTTTAGTTGATAAAAGGGGTAAGATCCCAAACGGCAAGAGCATGTTTATATTTTGAATTTACAGAGAGGTTGATGGCATCTGAAAGTGAGTAGGCAAACCTTTGACATAAAGGTGTTCTCGGAGTTCGTTTACAGCAGCAGGTAAAGGTTCATGTTATATGTGACTCCAAACCCCTCTCACATCCCCATTATGCTCAGTCTTTCTCCTTGCTCTTACATTCAACTGTTCTCTGATTTTTCTCCAGCCTGACTGCATAAAGAGAGTGGTAAGGCAGCCATCTTTAGTAAGGACCACTTCACTTCCATTTCCAAAGGCTATCTGGAACTGGTAGTGAGCCTATCTGAGTGCAGTCCTGCTTCAGTCCCATCAAGAACAATGAGATGACAGCTGTTTTGAGTGAGGTGGCTGCAATTGCTACTGGCATCATGAGCAGCTTTTAAAAAAAACATAAAAAAACAAAAACCTAATGTCACAAGAGTTGGCAACTCAGATGAATGACTTGCTAATGGTTTAAGTGTTTACAAAAGGGAAACTGAATGTCTGCCTTTAATTTGGAGCAACGTGCAATGACCCTGATAAGAGCCCTGGGTTAGTCTCACTTGCTGTCTTTTGCTGATATTTGATTATAAGTATGGAGGCTAAGACTGAGCTGGGGAAGGCCATTCATGGGTAATGGGGCTTTTTGTTGTTGATCTAACAGGTTACCACGACAATCACATTGTAATTCGGTGGTTCTGGGCTGCTGTAGAAAGATTCAACAATGAACAACGGCTAAGGCTATTACAGGTGAGAGATCAGTAGATTTGTATAAAAATATATACCCTCATTTCACATTAAATGTTAAAATACTTCGTCAGTTTCGGACAATGAAACCTTCAGATAGTTTGATGTCAGGACAGGGGAATGGCCTGGTAACTCAGCAGTCTCCAGATGCTTACTGTAAATAATTGAAATGTCAGAGCTAACTAAAAACATAATTCCACTCGATAGAAATTTACCAATACCAGTATGAGTGTTGGGTGGTGGTGATTTTTATTATTTAACTAAAAAAAATCCTCAAAATTTGTATTCCAAGGAAAGGAAAAAAACATGATAGTATTTACCTTTGAAGATTATTCAGAGAAGAGCTAGGGAGGCCTTGGCTGAGGTGTTCAGAATTATGAAAATGATACTGAAACTGATCCAGTCTCCCATTATTATCCTTTCATATAACATGAAAACAAGAGGTCTTCACTAAGTTGATAGCTAGTAAATTAAGAACAAATAAATAGAAACACTGCTTCACACAGTATGTCCACCTGTGGAATTCATTTACCTGATGAAGGATTCAACAACACTGAAGGCAGTAGAGGAATTTTAACGCATATGGGTTTTTCACAGAGTTACATGTAATCGAATACAGGTACCTCTAGCACACCAAATTCTTTAGAAGGGGCCAGATCTGATTTTATCTGTGTTTGCCACATAATTGCACTGGTTTCAAATCCATTGTTTTTAAACATTTCAGAACTAGCATCTGATCATCATGTTAACTGTATTACTAAACTGCCTTTTTCCTGTTACAGCTGGCTCTGTGTAAATGCTATGTGGGAAATATTACTGAGGTGTCCCTTTTGATGCAGGACCATAGATGGCTGTGTAACTTTATTGCTAAGATTTCCCTTTGTAATTATAATACAGTGTAGGGATTCTGCAACTGCAGGTCAAAAAAATATTTTAGATAGGTGTTGTATCACAGACCATTAAAAAATAAGTAGGCTCTATTTGTCACAAGACTCTCTTATCGATGAATGGTTCTAGTCAAATCTGCTCTGCGGGCCGGCTCCAGGCACCAGCCTAGCAAGCAGGTGCCTGGGGCAGCCAATGAGGATGGGGGGTGGCACGTCCGGCCTTTCGGCAGCGGGGCCGTCATTCCCTCTCGGAGCGAAGGACCTGCTGCCGAATTGCCGCTGATCGCGATCGTGGCCTTTTTTTTTTTTTTTTGTGTGTGTGCTTGGGGCGGCAAAAACACTAGAGCCAGCCCTGCTGCTCTGTACAATGTCATAAGAAATTCTCACTGAAATCTATGGGAATTTTACCTAAATGAGAACTGCAGAACTTGGCTCTTAGCTTATATCAGTTAGTAAAGTTTGTAAAGTGCTTTGAAATCCAGCTGGATGAAAGGCACGACATAAATGTAACATCATATATGGTAATTTACTTATTAGTTAGTCCCTCTTAAACCTTATTAAGTGTGTTTTATTTTCTCCCTCCTCACTTTTTTATTTATTAGCTTGATGATACTAGTAATGTGATTTTAATTCTACACTGATTGTGCATCATAGTTACTCTTATATACTAGCTGTCTATAAGTGAAATCTGTAACAGAAATTAGGCTAGTAAGCCCTCCCTCCTAGAGTGCTAATCAAGAAATATGCCACTTTCCTTCCCCTACATTTTAAACAGGATTTTAATACTCCTGCTTCCCCTTCAAATAAGGCCTGATCCTGCAAACTCTTATACAGGAGCAACTTGACTTAGTGGGAACACTGCTGTGAGTAGTTACTTATGCATGAGCATTCACAGGACCCTGAGGTTGTATATCTGTCATCCATATTGTTCTTTTTGTGTTGGTAGTTTGTTACAGGCACATCCAGCATACCTTATGAGGGGTTTGCATCTCTAAGAGGGAGCAATGGGCCAAGAAGATTCTGTGTAGAAAAATGGGGGAAAATCACTGCTCTTCCCAGGTAAAAGTGTGTGTGTGTATGTTTTGGGTGTTGTTGTTTTTTTAATCTAAGTAAATTTTGAACTACTTGGATAGACTTCAGTTCTGTGTGAGCCAGTCACAATAGATATTTTGATATTCTCAACTATCCCTACTGCTAACTATTGGGGTTATGCAGAAGCTGCTTGAGAAACAAATAGCTGTCATTGATTGACTGGGTATGCTCTGCCGCAGGGGACGCTCTACTTCCTACTTGTTGCAGTGTGTATGACATATCTGTATTTCTTCGAACTGAAGAGGTTGTTTCCCTGCGTTGTGGGAAAGACAAACTAATTGTGCTTAAGTCTGTACCTTAATTCAATTCATTCTACTTTACCAGGTTTACAACTTCTCTTCTAAAATTTATGGGTTTTTTGTTTGTCATAAAATTAGGCATTGCTTCCCTAAAATAGCATATATGATGTTCTCTGAAAGGTAAGTTATTGGTCATTGCCAGAAAATGGATATCAGCTCTAGATTAAAGAGACCCAATGTATTTACATTCTAGTTCAGTCCCTAGGAGGGCCAGCGTGACTTCAGCGTTGTGTAGAAATCTTGCGACAGAAGAAGGCAAAACACGATGTTAAGAGAGGGTGAAGATTGTAAAGGGAGCAAGTAGTAGAGAGGCTTCGGCCAAGTGAAAAGGGGAGTAGAAAGAAATGAGCTGGATGTAAGGAAGAGCTGAATTGCACAAGGCCTTGAAGAGCGGAAGTCAGTGAAAGAATTCAAGGTGAAAAGTGACATGATCAGAGTGGCAAGAGGAAAAAGTAAGGAAGGAATTGCTTTCCTCATTTTTCCTTTTGTGATGCCAGGAAAAGAACTGTGGTCTTAAATGATCTACAGTATCAAAGACTGATGACATATGAGCCAGGATCTGACTGAACTCTATATTAACAAGAACTTCTCTACAGTGAGGTCAGTTTTGCAGATTAATACATTTGGGGAAGATTTGCCATCATCCAATTCTGTAGCATTTAGAGGAATTTGCACTGGTTGGAAATGGATACATTACTAATTTTGATTACCAGATAGAAAGTCAAAGTATAAACAGTAGTACTATGTAGTTGAAATGCACAGACCCAGTGTACAAGTTTGTGGAGTCAGTAGCTCTAGCACAAAACCACCTTGTCAGCTAAGGGTATAAATGGGAGCCACTCAGCTGAAGGTCAAAGGTACATTAAGAGAATTCTAAGTTTATATTTCAAAACAATTACTGTAGTATCTTTTAGGGTCAAAAGGTATTCTGTGTGTCAGCCACCTAGGCATGCCTCAGAGAGTGATTGTTACTGAAATGAGAAATAGATTATGTTCCTACAGCATTTTAAAAATATAAACCGTTGCATTTTCTTGAATGAACCTGGACTTCAGCAGTGCCATTCCATTTTATACCGATACTTAAGTAGGAAAAGAGATTATTGTAATTTTTGTAACTTCTAATATTCAGTTTCTAAGACAGACTTTAGGCAGTACTGAAATATTATTATTAAATAAAAGGTCCCAGTTAGGATTAGGGCACCATTCACTGGGCACATTTCACATCAAAAAGACAATTCCTGCCCCAAAAGGTTTGCAATCTAAGATCTCAATCCTGCTTAACTTCACTTTGATGAGGAGTCCCATTAGATTTGATGGGCTACTCCTGGTAATAAAGTTAAGAATGTGTGTATATGTCATCAAGATCGGGGCCTTAATAGCTAGATGTAAGTGGACACAAAATACATATTTGACCAGTGTGGCAGGATACTGGCCTGGGAGGCACAAATAACTGGAAATCAGATTTTCCAGGATTGATAATCTGGCTACTGTGAGGAGGAACGTGACAAATTAATTCATTAAATTCCTTGCTGGACCTCTCATTATCTGTAAAAGTAAATATTTTGGGGGGTATAGTATTGATGATTTTTAAAGTAACTTAAAAACGGGAGAAAGAAAATAAATTGTGACAGTTCCATTAAAATAGTGTTCTGGACCCATAAAAACCCACCAAAGCAGGGGAACTCAAAGGGAAGGCTCAAACTAGCTGACTACTAATATAACTGATGAACCCGCTTTACCCATTTATTGTGCATAGATACAGAGACTTGGGACCAAATTCACCTCTTAGGCAGCAGGATCCAACCTGGAACAGGGCCACACTCCTGTAAGCTGCTCATTCTGACATGGAAACCAGAGCCAGCGGGTACAGTCTACACAGTGGGAAGGGGCAGGACAAGCCAGGAGATTCCGCACCTCACTGAGGGAGTTTCTTCTGGCAGGGCTACTGCGTGGCTCCAGCTGTAAAATAAAACTGCTTCACTTTAGAGAAAGAGAGTGGAGATATGTGCTGAGCGCCTTTACCAGTTCAGCCCAGTGGGTGCAGGGAGGGTGCCAGCTGCTTGCCTCATTGCCCATGGCAGTGAATATGGCCCTTGATCTTTAACTTTCAATTCCCTTGCTTTGGAGACACTGGGCCACAACTTTACTACCGTTTTAAGATATTTTTACAAATATGAGAGCCAAATAACACAAGTTTATTTGTCATGAGTCAGCCACTCCCAGTGCTCAAGACATGGTACCCTAATCCCATAGGAAACACATGATTTACAGCGTCCATCTCAAACTTAGCTCTGAGCAGAATGTAAACTATGTGTTTGCTTTTCTAACATCTCCAGTTCCTGTGTGCAGAGCAGCTTCAGCCTAAGCTCCACCAGCTTCAAAGGCTTTACTGTGCAAACACTGAGTAGCACTGGCTGAAGCTACCTATCTTAACAAAGACACTGAGTGGCAAACTTTCAGCAGGCTCCTAAAAGAGATCCTGCAGATGTGGATGAATTGTTGGACACCCACTGAAAATTTCACCCTGAAGCTCTTTGATGCCTAATGATTCTAGGGTTTTGGATTAACCTAGGGACAAATTCTTTTACCCTCACTCTCGGTGATTAGTGTTTTTATTTTGTGAATAGTCCCTCCAATTTCAATGGGACCACTTGTGGAGTCTGGTACAACTGGCAAAATCTGGCTCTCAAATTACAAGTCAAGGTTTTGGGGTTTTTTTATTCATACCAGAGAGAAGAAATAAATGAATGAAAACATTTTAAAGTAGCCATTCCCTTTTCCAGGCTCTGTAGAGCTAAGGAAGGCTAATACAGATAACAGATTGATTAGATGATTCAGCCTTCCAAGGGGAGTAGTGGGGGCAAAAGACATATCTGGCTTCAAGACTAAGCTTGATAAGTTTATGGAGGGGACGGTATGATGGGATAGCCTAATTTTGGCAATTAATTGATCTTTGATTATCATAGGTAAATATGCCCAATGGGCTGATGGGATGTTAGATGGGGTGGGATCTGAATTACTACAGAGAATTCTTTCCTGGGTGTCTGGCTGGTGAGTCTTGCCCACATGCTCAGGGTTTAACTGATCGCCATATTTGAGGTCAGGAAGGAATTTTCCTCCAGGGCAGATTGGCAGAGTCCCTGGAGGTTTTTCGCCTTCCTCTGCAGCATGGGGCACGGGTCACTTGCTGGAGGATTCTCTGCACCTTGAGGAATTTACACTGGTTGGAATTTACACCTTGAGGTCTTTAAACCACGATTTGAGGACTTCAATAACTCAGGCATAGGTTAGGGGTTTGTTACAGGAGTGGGTGGGTGAGATTGTGTGGCCTGCGTTGTGCAGGAGGTCAGACTAGATGATCATAATGGTCCCTTTTGACCTTAAAGTGTGTGAGTCTATGAGATGATTCCATAGCTTCCATAGTTCTGATCATGTTATAATCAGCCTTATTGAACCAGAACAATGAAACTTCTGTAACTTGCATGTCAAATTGCCTGGCTTCTATCACTGCCCTTTATGTTAGTGGCATGTGAATGCACTGAAAAAGTTAGTTAGTTCTAGTTTAGTTTTGCCCCTGCTGTCCCTGTCACCACTTTTACTTCCAGCTTGTTTATCTTATTGTACATCAGGCTAAATCAGATATCACTAGGGGAACTTTTGCTCTCTGTTTCTTAAATGTTTAGAAGTTGGTAGTGTTAATTATATAGCAGCTAGTGATAATGCATATCTAAACATTTGCACGCGAACAGCATTCTTCTGTTATTGCTAAGGTACTGGACTTTGGACTTAAAAGTTAATTTGTCTATAATACTGTTTGAACGTCAGTGAAGGGGGAAGTGATTGAATGTCAGGACTCCAGGAACTAAGATACATTTTCCTTTATCAGAAAATGTGAGAGCAGAAAGATGAACATAGCATACAGTTAGCTTGAAATGTCCTGGGAAAGCAGTATTCACAGTAAAATCACTCTCCTTGCAGAATGACAGAGTCCTTTGTCTGGTAGAAGAAGAGCACATTTCCTCAACAAAATCAATACCTTTATTTTTAAAAATGAGTCAGCTCTCTAAAGAAAATGATGATCACATTTTCAATACACTATGACAAAATCATCCTCAAAAACTGAAAGAAAACCCAACTTGTCTTCCAAGATGCAAGATTGTTAGCTTGCAATGAATCCCTTATTGATTCATGCATCATGTTTTTTTATAATTTGTGGTTGTTTAGCCCACAGTATGTATGATGCATAATTCTAACAAGTGGATGTCTGTTTCAAAGAAACTCCTCTCCTTCCACACCCTTTCTGAATGCATTAATCGGCAGAAGCAAGAGGAAATCATTCTGCTGGTTGTGTGAGCAGCCAGAGGATGCCAGGAAGATTATTTCAATGGTCCACATTCCCCTCCTGTGGGCCTGATGGAAAGAGAAGCTCTATGAAGTTTCTTTCATAATGTTTCCTCCAAATTCTCCTTCCAGAGGGTTAAGGAGAGGGAATCAGTTGAACCCACCCACCAGATGCAGGAGGTTAGGCCACCATGGATCTTCCAAGGTCTAAATTGAACCCAGAGAATTGGTGGATATACAGGGCAATCTAGCTACCTGACAGCACTGCTCTAATTGTAAGCCTTCCTACAGTCTTTGCCCTCCCTCCCCCCCAAACACACACCTTAACAAGGGTCCCCAGCATGGAGGAACTCTGCAGGAAAGTTAGATCCTCAAAGCACACTTCCTGGATCCCACAGATAGCTTTCCACAATGTTCTGGGAAGAGAAGAGAGGTACACAGATTCTGCTGATCTGCTCCCTTTCCAGGCAGGCAAGGGTTGATCTCTCTAGTGGATTGGGAGGGAGGAAGGGGGAAAAAGAGCAGCCCCATGGGGTGTTAACTCTACCTGCTGAAAAACATTCTTATTCTGACAGAGTTCTGTTAAGTCTACAATAATTGGATGGAGCAAAATACAATATTTTTTCTACCACAGCAGTACACCCGAAGTTTGGTCTAATGTTTATAATGATAATCTGGCCCTGCATACTGTGTGTTTCCCAAAGCCTGGTATTTTTATGACACTACAATGCTGTTTGCTAATTCAGTGTTTCACCTTCACTGAGGAATTGTAATGAACTCTTAGCTTCTGTGTTTATAAACAAGCTAGAATGACTCACCTCTTCTCTTCATGTTCCAACCTGGTAGTTAGGATCTGATTGGCACTTAAGATGATGGTCCCTAGATTTGTTCATCTGGGGGCTGGGCACCTTCTTGTTTTGAGAGGGCTCACTGTAAATCCAGTGTAGCCATTCTGAATACAGCTGAATGGGGTATGTTGAATAGGGAGTCTCAGTAATTGGTGAGGGGCGAGTTCCTGACATTATACACTTAAATGTATTATGCTGCATGTTTTTTAAATGTTTGCTGTTCAAGTGCTGACAGGCAGGCCACTGCAGAAAAGGTTTCTACTTGCCAACGAGAACAGGTTTAAACAACAGTGTGGTGTAATTGCAAAAGGAAAAAGTAAATGTAAAGAAAGTCCTGCCCCTTTAAGGGCCAAACCCAAAGACAGAAGGACTTTTATCTTCCAAAGCAAAGGTCTAAAGGGTTAGTCAGCTTTCAAAGAAGAAGAGGAAATGAAAAATCCTTGGCACTTTCATCTCAGAACCCCTCTCCCAAAAGATCCTACTTGCATTAGTCACTTGGAGCTGTGCCATTTATTTCAGTGGGAGCAGGATGGAATTACCCTGCTACTCATAAATCTCTATATCAAACTCAGGCAACTCTGGTCCTTCCTCTAGTCAGAGGATGGGGTCTGTAGGACCTTTTCACAATGTGCATAGAGATTGTGATAGGCAGATCATAGAAATCAAGGGGAGAAATATATCCCTGTCCTGTCAAGAAAGCTAGAGTGTGTTTGAGAATTATATACATAGATTATCAGGGTTGGAAGGGACCTCAGGAGATCATCTAGTCCAACCCCCTGCTCAAAGCAGGATCAATCCCCAACTAAATCCCCAAATGGCCCCCCTCAAGGATTGAACTCACAACCCTGGGTTTAGCAGGCCAACGCTCAAACCACTGAGCTATCCCTCCCCCCACATTCATTTAACTACTAAATATATTTCTCTGTAATAGATTGCCACGATCAGATCCTCGACTGGTGTAAATCAACATACCTGCACTGACTTCAAGGAAGCTACACTGATTTACACCAGCTGAGGCTCTGGCCCAGAGAAATTATCAATGGAAAAGACCTAGTTTGCTAACTAGTCTATCTCCTGTCAGTAGGACTGTTCCCTATGCGTATTTTCTAGTATTTCACTAACTTTATCTAATTTATGTGCATTCATTCTTCAGAAATAACCTGCTCATGATTACAGACCTAGTATTCAAATATCACTATTTTTTAATAGAAAATACTAATTTTAAAAGTATGTATTTTAAGCCAAGTTTTCAAAACAGACTGCCTCAATTGTGCCCCTAAATTACACATTTTGTGTGTGCACATTTTACAGGCAAAATTTAGGCTACTACCTGTGATCCACATTACGGTATCAAAGTATCTTTGACAATTCTTTTTTAACTTGAAAATAACAGTCTTCAGTAACACAATATCATTTCACAAAGCATGGTTATTTGAAAGGACCTTCTAGCGCACCTGAATTTTCAGTTACTTTCATTTGAATTTCTAAATAACCTTTGCTTATTTGCCACTTTTTTTTTTGCAGGGCTCATACATGTTTCAATCGTCTTGACCTTCCCCCTTACCCATCATTCTCCATGCTCTGTGAGAAACTGTTGACAGCAGTTGAAGAGACAAGTACCTTTGGACTTGAGTGATACGCAAACCACAGTGCCCAGCTCTTTGGACGTTTGTGGATCTGTCCTCTCAAGAATGAATGAACATTTGTATTGGATTCTTAGAGGAAAATTGTTTTACAATACAATTCAAATAATGAGATTTCCATCAATGAGTAAATCTAGCTTCGGAAGCAGTTACAAGCATTGTGATAGTGGTGGAGTAATCTACGGTAATACTGGAGTGCGCCTGGTGTGCAGGGAAAACTAACAGTCTTGCAATAAACAGTTTTTCTTGACTGCCATGTTTGTTATGGCCCAAGCAAAAGATGTGACCATGCATGATCAGCAAGGTGGCTACTGCAAAATCTGATAAGTATCTTGAAACTGGATTTCACCAAAGTCCTTGAATGTAAAGTTCAAGTCAAAATGTGAAATCGTTTAGTCCACCCCTAAATTAGCTAAAATCAAACTATGGAATTCTTTATTAAAAAAAAAGTTTCCTAAAGATACGTTACTTTATGCCATATACTATAACAGAATATCCATTACTTGCTATACCTAAGACTACGAGTCCCTGCATGGTGTGCATCATAGATTTCAGCTTCCTGGGCCAGAAGTGAATTTGAAGGAAAATCAGTAGCAAGGGATGTCACAACAATGGCTTGCAATAAGGAGGTTTGTGAAAATGTATATGCAAGTGGCGCGTGTATGGCAAATGATGAGCTATTATAAGGAGAACTTAATAATGACTGATTTTATGCTTTATACTGCATGGAAACTGTTTTAAAAAATAAGTATCAATTTACCACAGCATATCAGGAAAAAAACGTACACAGTGACTTCTCTTTATTTTTATAGGTTCATTATGTTAAGTTCCTCAGAGTGTAAATAAGAAACTAGCATACTAAATGTTATTTCTGTTCATTTCACTTTTCATGCATAAACAGACATTGTGCTAGTGTTTTATTCTTTAAGCACTCTCAAGGAAAAAAATGCCTTTTATTTTTATATGAGTAAGAAATTCCCAAAAATATTTTGCACTGAATGTACCAAAGTTGAAGGGACATTATGATCAGACTGACCGCAAACTGCATCACTCTTACAAGTATCTAGAAAATAACTTCTTAAGAACCGAGCTTTCTTCACAGTGCCATGTCTATAGATATCAGGACTGTGCACATAAGTAATAATTTTGTAAAAATCAGTACATGTGATATTGTAATATGCATTTATTTTAAATGCATTTGGTTCATTTTTCATCCATCAAATAACCTTTAAGGGATTGAGTGTAATACAGATGTTTCATATTTTCCCAGCAACTTTTATTTGTACAGCACCGTGAAACACACTAGCTTATTGGGGAAACCATTTGCGACACTTAAGAGGATGAACCTTTAATAGTAATGATTCCACTCTCCCTTATCAGTGAACACCTCCAAGCTATAAACTGTTCGTAATGTCTTTCTAATTGCATTTTCACTGATGAGTAGTTTTCTTATCAATGTTAATTAAAATGGAGTCCTTTTCAATGGTATATCAAAAACTGCATGAATCCACCAATTTAATTATGCTTAATTTTGCCAAAGTGCACAGGCATCACTTGCACCCATTCCTCATAACTATCTTTAATCCTAAATTAGTTTTGCATCTGTGCATTTGTACAGCCATTAAGAAATACTACATACATCGAGCCAGAGTTCCAGAAAACTTCAACTGGATGTTGAATGGCAAGAACAGAAATACAGCTCTTTGTGTTCCTTTTGATGGCACTCAAGCATTTCAAGACCTGCTTTGTGGGAGAACTAAGTTTGGGAGTAACCTCAGGATTCCCACTCTGGGGACTCTCGTTGAATAGGGGTCTCAGTGAGGTGACATGCTTATTTTCTGTATTCATAACAATGGGAGCACCCATCCACTCAAGTGAACATTGGAACAGCAATAAAGATGCTGTCAGCAAAGACTACTTTTTCACCCTCACAATGAGAAAGTAGATGCTGTTGTGGTGGTAGGAGCTGGGTGCTGGGTAAATTTAAGTTGCCTCAGATCCCTTTCCCCCCCGCATTCCCCAAACAATATAGGAAATAATGCCTGTATTCAGATCATTGAGGAAACCCCACTGTCAAAAATAAAATGAAAATATCTTTTGACTTTACAAAAAATGGGTTCCTCCCTAAAACAATGACATCTTGGAATCACACAAGTTTTCTTAAACTGCTCCTGGCTTGTACTAAGTGGCAAAGAAATGTCAAACTGTTATTCTATTTTTACATCCAAGTTTATCAGTGTTTGCTAAGATATCACGTTAATGGTCCAGGGTTTGCTAATGCATGTGTTGTATCAAAGAACTGATACACAGTAGATAAATTTACTTGTGAGCAGGTCATTTCAGCATGGCTCATGTTTCATGTGATCAAATTCATTAAGTATCTGACACTCCAGTCACTTAGAGCCAAATGAAACTTTTGATTGGCTAAGAACCACAGAAGTTGGCTCTTGTAATATTACAGTATCTTTTCCCTAAAAAGAGATCCTTGCAGGAGAACAGATCTACAAACATTAATCCAGAAACTCATTGGAATTAAAAGGGTTAAATATTTGACACAAAAGTTTACATCAGGCTGCATTTAAGCTATGCTTTTGTACAAACCAAAAGTAATAAATGCATTTGTCATCTTTTATTTAAAAAATGAGATGTACTACTTACTTTTGTTCTGTATTCCGCCCTTTTCATCAGTCGGTGAGCATCCAGGACTCTGCAGATCTCCAGCAGGATCACCAAGGGTGGCAGGTCTCAGCAAAAAGACAAAACCCAGCGACCACTAAGATTCAGGCGAAGCAAGCTAAGGGAGGGTAGAAGGTCTGTTCCCTCCTCCTGTCTTGCCTGTACCACACTGGACTCTAAGGAAGTGCCATCTGAAGGTGATGGGGAGCTGGCTGCCTTGATGCTGCAGCCCCTTCTGCTCACAGCCCTCAGCTAGCTTCTTGCTGTATTTTAAGAAATGCTTCCCTGAAAAAGGGAGTGGAAGGGAAGGAGCATAGAAGCATTAACAGCCCCACACACCCATTACCCCACCAGCAGCAGCAGTCACCCATCAGCACCAGAGCCCATTCAACACCCCATCCCATGAAAGCCAGCCCTGGGTTCCTGCAGAAGATTGCAGGGTGTGAATACAAGGATTGTGGGGGGTTGAACTCATAACAAGCGACGATGACTGGTGTGGGGGTTGTGGATGGGGAGAAAGTTTGAAAATCCCTGGCTTAAAGTAATATATCATTTAGAAGATCTTACTTGGCTGATAAGGAGCTTTCCTTCTGGGGAGGAAACAGAATAGTCTAGCAGAGCAGAATGAATTAATGGGCCCCATTCAGCCACTGCATGATACTGACTTGGGCCAACATAATCCCCAGTATCCTTATATGGCGGAAAGCCCACTTGGGGTTCACAGCAGCAGATTTAAGGCACCTACAGCCCCGTCCCCTGCTCTGACAGGGAACTCTGAGCCGGCCAGCACTACACGGAAAGCAAGTGGTGCAGGTAGACTTCTTCCCATGGCAGAACTGCCAGGGAAAGGGGTCTCTTGTCTTCTTCTGGGGCAAATCACAACCTTGGGTGCCCTGAAGCACAGCTTCTCCTAATGGGAAGGTGGGATGTGATTTGCACAGCTCTAGTGAACTTAATCATTGTCTCTGCCAAATATGTTGGAATAGCATCTAATTAATGAACACATCCCAACTATCAGAGGCACAGATGCCTATTATGTCATATGTAGTCTCTTGTTCAAGGTATGTATGTCAGAACCTTTTACTTTATTATAGCAGTTTTCTCGACCACTCAACTCATGAGATAGCCTTCTGTTATGATAAGAAATACCCTCAGCAACAGATTGTATATTAATTAATTAAAGGAATCTCTCAGCCCAAAATAAATTTCTTTGTAACATAACCTTCACTCTGCAAAATGGAAGCAGAGATTTCTTTTTCCCAGTTAATCTTTGTTACACTTTCACAATAAAAAAATAAGTTTTCATAGTTAAATTAATTGTTTTCGTTATCCATGTTGTGGACCAGGGACATACCATAAATAAAGGTGTTAATATCATTCAGAGATAGAGTCGGTGATATCATCTCAGTGCTCAGAGCCAGCTATGCAACACATAAGCCTCACGGTAAAGTTGTTCACCCCAGGTCTTACAGTATATAGTGAATATACAGTAGAACCTCAGAGTTACGAACATCTCGGGAATGGAGGTTGTTCATAACTCTGAAATGTTCATAACTCTGAACAAAATATTGTGGTTCTTTCAAAAGTTTACAACTGAACATTGACAATGCAGCTTTGAAACTTTACTATGCAGAAGAAAAATGCTGCTTTTTTAGTAGTTTGTTTAACACTGTACTGTATTTGCCTTTTTTTGGTCTCTGCTGCTGCCTGATTGTGTACTTCCGGTTCCAAATGAGATGTGTGGCTGACTGTTACTTTGTAGTTCTGGTATTCGTAACTCTGAGGTTCTACTGTACGTAATATATAATCTTCAAAGGAAGTTGAAAATCCAGACAGTAGCACTCTGGCAGAGCATCTAAAAGAAAGTGTCTGGCATGATGGAAACTGGCAGAGAACATTGAACTGGTGGTTGGTTTGTTTTTAGATTACAGAAATTTAAAAAATTTTGTGGTTTGCTATGCTTTTTCAGTGCTTCTAGAAGTCCAAAATGGCTTCAGTTTTAAGTGTTAAGACTGGTATCATGTGGTTGCTAAAGTAATCTCTGCAGTGTTTAATTGCAGATGCCATGACATCTCTGCAGTATTAATGAATCTCTACAGTGTTGTTTGAAGATAGTCATTGAGATGTTTGCAGAGACAGTGTTCTGGATTGAGAGAATTTATGCATAAATGGTAAATCTATATTAACTGTGTTTGACTAGTCTTTATAATTTGATATTTCCATACTGTAATACAAAGCAGTTTGAATCATGTTTAAAGGTTTAAATTTGTTTGTATTGAATTACAATAGTTTTTAGAACTGTTGCTCATATTTATCTATCTTGCCATTGATTTGGGGAAAGAGGAAAATTTGCTCCTAGTAACACTAATGGGAATTAAGCATTAAGTAATATCTGCTTTGAAGAGATAATAACATCTGTCTTAACATCAGTCTTACAAGGTGGGACCTGTTTTTAATTAAATCCCACTCCATCACCCAAAAATGAGTTTTCTATTTCCTCCTCCAGCACCTCTCCACCCCAAACAAAATTTCAAAATGATTACTGACACCTGATTTTTAAAATTTTCCCAAGTGACCAGCCATTGTTGGATAATCCAAGGAGCAGTGGCAGAAATTTTCAATGATGCCTTGTTAACAGATTGCAAATGAAAGGCCTTTAAAATTGTATCTGAGTGACCACAATGGCTGTTTTAGAACTATTCTAGTCCTTTGGTTAAATATTTTTAACATAAAATACAGACTACAAAGGCTGATTTGAAATTGCTCTTGTCTCTTAGAAAAATAAATACAGATTACATAGGCATTTTAAAAATATATATATATTATTTAAATGGATACTGTCAGATTCAGAGCTATATTTAAAAATATCTTTTTCAGTTACTAGTAACCGTTTAGATTGTTAAAACTAAGCATATAAAATTAAATACACTTTGTAATTTTTGTTTTACTTTTTGCATATTTTTCAACATGCACAATGCAAATAGAGTGGTCAGTTTGGTGTTGCTTATGGTCAGTTTCTGGTCAATTGCACTTTCTATTCTCATGCACTAGCTTAGTGAATTTTTTTATAATTTTATGAAAATATTTCTAATTTTTTTTTACATATTTTATTTTAAAGAAACCTAATTTGAGGGTCTAACCTGCCTGGCTGTGTCCCTTTAAAAAATCAGGGATGCCATCCTAACAGGCCTTTGCCAAGGCCATGATATACTCTGTGTATTAATTAATCATGATTAATTTAATTGGGAAGATCTGCTTCAAAATCAGTGGCATCATATGACTCTTCATCAGTACTCAGGAAAACTCCCCTTGACTACACAGTCTGGCTGCAGTTTAAAGATGGCAACACCTTGTAAAGACTCCTTTGGATTACAGATATTGTGTAATATATCTGTACATTTGTAAAATGTAATAAAACACCTTCTGAAATTATTTGCAAAAAGTTACTGTAACTGTGAATTAGCCCCATGTTGAATCAATACATTGCCAATTTTAACTTTCTTTAATTACCAAATGTAATTAGAGCACATCACAGAATATCCACTGAAAAATATTCTAAGAAATTGTTTGATATTATGATGAAGGCAAAATGCATCCAAGCTTTGTTTCTTTCAATTATCGCCTCCTAAAACTTTTTTTAATAAAAAGGTTTCTAATGGAAGTGCTGCTTCATTGTTCAGTATATGGTGGGTTTTTTTCTTTGTACAGACAGGAATTTCTCATTCATCCACAACTAAAAAGTCCTTACCTCCCCATAAATAATAACTAAGAGCCATATTATGCCACTAATTTACCAGAGTTCTCCACTGGGAACTTCTAATTTAAAATCTATGGGACTACAAGACTCTTAAAATGGGGACTAGTCAAAGTGGAGCTCTGTGCTTTCATTCACTTCCTTATTTTGGGCAGCCTCCCAGCAACTCTCTTCTCCCACTTGAGTTGCATATGATTTGGACTATTGCCGCACCCAACCTACAATCAACAAGCAAGAGCAACCAACCATCCATGATACTGTAGTGTCAGAGTTGGGATAGTGAAGCTAAGATTATGGCTTGCTGCACTTTTTCCTCAGGAATTAAACACATCTCCTTTGCTACAAGTCTAGCTCCACTAATCCAAATAGCTAAATGTTTTTTTAATTTAGTTTCTTGAAGTTAACAGGTTTTTTGCACACACAACTGTCCTTTGGGTACAGCGAATCGGGGCAACCGCTGTGCGATTGGCCGGCGCAGTCAGTCCCAGTGCGATTGGCCGGCGCAGTCAGTCCCAGAAGTGACAGGTCAGTCCCGTAAGTGACAGATTTGTCACTTCTGCCCCAGGCTCTGCACCCCACCCCCACCCCCGGGACAGCCCTGTGGGCGTGTTTGCACGTACTTAATTTATTTTCTCACCTCCAAGCGTTGCTACTAAGTGCAACTACCCTTGGCTAAGAGATCAGTGAAAGCCCCTTACCAGGGCATAGGTTAATACTGATAGAGATTTCTGGGGAAGGTGTGATATATATGATTACAGCCAAAATATTTCCTTCCATAGATGGAGTACATTGCCCATAAAGTACTTAAAGGTGGCTCTTCTAGAAGGACAGCTTGGGATTCTAGCACTCCTCCCATGTTTCCATTTCCTGTTTGGTGGTATAATCAAGTGTTGGCACATTCCACTGAGTCAGCAGTTAAGCATCTTTACCTTGCATCGTGAAAATTATACTTTAAATAGGTAGGTAGGTATATTAGGACTGTATCATGTTCTCCAACTGTACAGATGTGACTGGTACAATATGAAAATTTTGCCTGAGACATTGGATTTGATTGTACTGTTGGCTGCTGATTTCCTGGTTTCCCATTGGGGCCTGAAGCTGGATATTTAAAAAAAAAATTAAATAAAAGAGAAGTAA